TCAATATATTAACCATGAATGGAAATACTACAGGCACACTGCTACAAAGATGTAAAGAACGTGTTTTACTAAATGATGTGCCCTGAGGCTGTTGTAAGGAAGGATATCATTTCGTAGGGCCAATATGTGTTCTTGTGGCATTGTTATAATGTGTTCATCTGACCATCAGAATTTCTGAAAGCTCGCTGGACTAAACTATATTAATTCTGAAAAATATAGAAACATTGTGGAAATGCTGCCAACTGTTGCATTTTAGACAGAAAAGAAAGGAACAGAGACAAGATCCATGGTAAAATACTAAAGCTAAGGATAAAGGACAAATCTTATGACAATAATCCATCAATTCCCAAGATAGCGTTCCTGAGTTATTTTGTTAAATGTTGGAAAGCACAAACAACTTTTCAATGGAGGAAAACTATGTCACTTTTCTTGGAAGATGTTCATAAAGACAGCGTGAGGTCTCTCCCCAAATAGTGCAGACGGTGAGTACAGAGCAGAGGTGAAACGACTTGTTTGTTGCACGAAAGCACCTTTGCATCTACTGTAGCTACCGCGTTTTGCTCCGAGGTGGACACTCAGTATTGTCAATACACACCTCGCTCCTCTCCAGCGCGCTCACAGCTTGCTGCCCCTCCGAGCTGGAACAGTCGCAGCAGGAGCTGCAGGCTCTTGTCGCTCTTGCGCAGTGGCAGGTAGATATTGGTGCTGACTCGGCTCAAGGTGTCCAGCAGCGGAGACAGCAGTGACTCCAGAGTGGTATTGATCTTGTCTCCGGGTTGATTCCGCTCCATGTCCACACACAGGAGCACGGCCCTGCTCAACTTATCGGCCTCTCTGGAGTCCGGTACCCTCTCGGTGTGACCTGAGTAGCAGTGGAGATTAACTGTACACAGACGGAATCCTTCAAATGATCTACGACAGTCTCACTTCAGGCTTACCCGCGCTAGCCGCGACTCGGAGATAAGAGTGCACCTCGCTTTGGACGTAGCCTCTTACGGTTTCTTTCTTGGGGGAAGCACCAGTGGAATCTCCGTCCATTATCCTGGGCTTGAAACTACCCTCATTGTCCAAAAGCCAGGAACACAACTGCAGCAAAGTCGGGTAGAAATTCCGTCATGCAACTTCCTAAAAGTCTCATCAAAACACCGCGCAATATTGCATCAAATACCTCCAAGACATCGTACCTGATTCCAAATCTGCGTCCCTCTAGAAAGTGACTCGTCTGCACGAAAATGCACCAAGAAACTAAAAACATCGTCGAGGGTCACTGCGCTCTGAAATTAGAATATTCAATTACGCGGTTCACTAACTTCAATCCTGTGTTTGAAAGCACAAAATAACAGAAACACCTTACAATGCAAGATGGGTGAGTTAGTTTGGGCCTTTGCTGGGACTGTTGGAGGATGTAATGAAACCTGACATTTTAATCATGAAAGCCTAAATTAGTGCGCTGTAAATGAAAACATTGGCCTGATAAATTACTTCAATGATGGAGAAAAAACAAACGTAATGATCCTCATGCTGTTTACAACAGCGCTGTATATATTGAATAATAAGTTGTTTCAGATATTTCAGCAGTTCAAATACACCCATATTTATGTCCTACCACATCTATGAGACGGAGGGCGCCGCTCAGCAAGAAGCACTGAGTGGCGCCTCTCAGCAGGACCTGATGAGTGATCACGGTGCAGCACAGCACCTCCCTGCGTGACACAGGAGATAAAATCAGCTTCCCTAAGAGGCCGTCTGTGTAAGTGGAACCGCGATGAGGTACCTGAGAGCAGCGAGCCCCTCGATCCCCAGCAGGGGACCCGGCGGCAGCTCGGAGAGAGCTTGGCAGAGGAAGAGGAGCGGCGCCGCACACCAGTGCTTAGAGCACAGCTGCCGAATCATCTGCAGCAACATCCGGCCTGGGAAGCAAGAAGAAACAGCCGTTCAGGTGCCGGAGCTCCGTCGGCATGTGTTCTTTGACGTCTGATTTCCTGCACCTCTGTGCTCTGACGGTAAACTGGTGAAGAACGTGACCATGAAGACCTGCAGTTTAGCTCCAAGCTCAGGACAATCTCCTACGCTCTGCCCAACGGACCTAGAGGTGTACAGAAGGTGGGTTAATGAGGCCGGGTGCAGAAAAACAAGTATAATATAATAAGATCTTTACACAGACATCTCTTCTTTTATTTACTGTCTTGGTTTGACATGAAACCCTCACTTGTGAAAGAGCGACGTTTCGGACAGAACATCCATAAAAGGGCCAACGATGAACTGAGGAGCAAAGCAACAGAAGAGGGAAGTTTGCCCCTTTTGAAGGATTTCAGTGACATTGAATTAATGTCCGGATCACAGCGTGCGGATTAAGTCGGAGCCTCTACCTGAGAAAAGGCCAAAGCGAAGGCTGGCTGCTGGAGGACCTGCAGCTCCAACAGATGACACACTCCCTCTCTCATCAGGGCTTTATTCTCACTGTGGAACATCCGCTGGTACACACACAGCAGCCAGGAGGGGTGGAAGAAGACTGGAGCCGCAGCGTGGACACGGCACCGATAAAGAGAACAGGTAACAGGCCAGCAGGTGGCTTTTCAAGTGTACAAACTTTTCAATTACAAATTACGCTTACGCGATTTTTATATATTTATGTTTTTGAATTGAAAACTCTCCTCACAAGTGTTTGTGGTAAGACAATCAAAAGTGTGTCAGATTGTCAGTACACTGTAAAAAAAAATAAGCTGGTTAAACTTAAAATAATAAGTAACCTGGCTGCCTAGAAATGTTGATTTCGGCAAGCTAAGAACCTTAGGTTGTTTGTACTTCAATATGAGTTGATGTAACTAAGAATAAACAGTTGGGCTGACAAAAAAGAAGCCTAAAAAACAGTCCGTTTAACCTTAAAATGTATGTTTAACCAAGATTTTTTAGTATTTATAACCAGACATCTTAAGTTGTAAAAGCTTAAATCCAAATTTAAGACAACAAATAATGACTAGTAGAACCAACACGGTTTTAGTAATTCTAATTCATCTCTTGAGCTGTACAAACATGAAAACAAAAGTATTTTGCACTAGTTTTCTTGTTGGATAAATGTGTAGTCTTTAGTGGGGCAGATATAGTTTTGAAAGTCTCCCTAACTCAGCATCTTGTTCAACTAACATATCTTTTTAAGGCAGCCAGGTTACTTTTTAAAAGGTATAGTTGATCTTACTTTCAATGTTAAGTTAATTCAACAAAACTAAAGCTTACTTTGCCCAAAAAACATAATCCCTTTTTTTTGTGTGAAGTTAATGTGATCAGTTCAGCACAGTTCAGTTTCGTGGACAACTAACAGGTTGAACTGATCTACATAAAGATTTGACAGCGGCTTCAACACTGAGCGACCCCAAAACAAAGCCAGAAAACAAGTGCTTTGCAAGAGAAAGCTGTACAACAAATCTTTTTTACAATATTTAGAAAAGGATTCCATATTATCCCTTGCATCTAGTGTTACCTTGGCCCTCATTTACTGTGGTTTGGATCAACGTGTCTATTCTGTTAAGAACTGGCCGGACGACGTGAATCTACAAAAGGGAAAAACAAAACACAATCAAGATAAAAAAATCTGCCTTGTGATGAGGAACTGGTAGCAAGCCAGCAGCCACTGGGATTTCCCACCTGGTTCTCCTCCAGGGTCTCCATCACCAGCGCGAAGTCCTCCCAGAACTCTCTCAGCAGCTTACTCCTGCTCGGCTCCCATTTGAACAAGATCTCATCTGCAGCAAATAAAAAAATAAATAAAAAAACAACAACAACAAAAACACATGTGAACAAGTGACAGCCAATCGCAGCAGGGCACCTTCCTCGGATGGAGAGAGGGGGCAGCGCAGCCCCTCCTCCTCCGACAGGGACACGCACATCTTGAGCAGGTACAACGCCCTCTTCCGTGACACGCTGTCCCTGTGCGTCAGTCCGTCCTGAACCATCCTCCAGAACTGCACGGACACGCGAGGGTCCACCTCGCGGTGGGGGGAGGAGGGGGGTGATGGGGGGCTGTGGGGCTTCAGCAGGTGCTCCGACAGGGCGGTCAAACACAGCAGCGTCCGCTCCGCCACCACGTGTGTGCGGGCGGCGCGGTGCCAGCTGCACATGTCCTCCAGGACCAGCTTGAGGACGCGGGTCAAGATCGCACCGCCGCAGCAGCTGAGCACCGTCAAGAGGAGCCGGACCACGATCTTGGACACCATCGCGTCGGGCAGCGTTTTGACGCAGGACAAGGCGGACGACAAGGTGATGAGCGTCAGCTGCTCGTCCGCCGCCAGAGAAGGCACGAGGGCGGCCACGACTTCGCTGGCCACCTCCGCGCTGAGTCGCCCCGGACCGGGCGCGCCCTCCTCCCCCTCCGCCTGCCGGAGCGACGGCAGGACCGAGAGGGCCACTCGCCCCGGCACAGCGCGGTCGCACAGCGGGGCGCAGACACTCAGCAGCCTGCAGGCGGCGGCGGTGCTCTCCCGGCACCGCGTGCCCTCGCCGGCTTCCGCAGATATCTTGACGAGAAGCGGCAGACACCGGGTCCAAACCACCGAGTCGATTTGAGCCATTACGGAGCTCCTCTTCGCCGCTGAGAGGCGAGTGGTGTCCGACTCCGCTAGAAGCGGCGCGAGCCCTTCGATGAAAGCGGTCAGCGCCTCCACGCGCTCGGTCTCCGGCCACGAGTCGCTCGGCCAAGTCAGAGACTCGAACAAAAGGAGGAGGTCGGGGGAGCTGGACAGCACCGCGTTGACTAAAACGGAATGCATTGCGAAGCGAGCTGCCAGGAGCTAAGCGGGACAAAACACCCGGTCAACCGGCTTCTCTCGCTCTGTCCATGGGCGACACGTTTTTTCTACGCGGGATGTAAACTTCCGCAAACGTAGTCAAACTCTCGCGAGGAGTGTGAGGCTGTAACTTTACAGCCTTGAAAAGTTTGTACGAAAAAAATAAATAATTAAGCGTTACATGAATCACGTGGGACAACGTGAATAAACACGGTTTCATTTAGTGGAATTTAAAATTTATTTTCACCATCGTAATACAACGCTTGTAAATTTCTGACAGTTCATACATTATTGGCATTGGAAGAAAGGGTTGACTATATTGGCTAAAGACGTTATTTTGCATACCAATGATCATTTACCAAACAGTGAAAAAGATCATGTCTTTGAGTTACATAATACAAAAACACTGCAGATTAATTATAAACCTAGTTGGTACAGAAACAGTGCTCTACAAATAATACTTTTCTGATGTAATAACAACGAGGGGACAGTATGGAACCGAGAAGCTTTGGATGAATACATTACCAGCTGGAAAGAGGTTACATTTTCCACATCAGCAAGTAGACTAATAGGAAAAGCATGACAGAGCACACTATACAAAAATAGAGTATATTAAAAAATATTATTTAAAAGAACAAGAAATGCAAGAGCACAAACATCAGGACAGTGCTTCTGAAGTTTCCGCTGAATCAAACAAGGAAATTAGCAATGATGTCAACGTCTTTTAACTGAAAACTTTAAGCCACCGACATCAAACCTGTTCAGATTTTTCAGAAACATTTGAACAACATGAATATAAAATATAATACATAATTAGAAGTGTAATAAAATAGTGCAAGTAGTATGTACACAATGTACAACATTAATAAATATGCTCCGTTTATCAATTTAAATTGAAAAACACACACGCACTCATCGCGTTTTATCCTCCCCACAAGTTATATATGTGTTGGCAACCTCGACGTTAATCTGCACTGTGAATGAATGAATGAAGAGAAGGCGGAGTTGGGAGTATTCAAAGTATGAATTCCAGGAACCGTTCGTCACTTAACATGTCCAGAGAGAGGCAGTTGCTGGCCCTGCGGCCAAAGCCGGAAGGTTTGGCTTGACAGTGCAAAAGAGGGTAATCGCTTTGCTCAACGGGGGGTCTTTGTGTTTGTCGAGGCACCCGGGAGGCCACAGGTGTAGCTGTGGGAGGAGTCGGGCGGCAGTGTCGTCCCCAGGGATGCCGCAGGGGGAAACAGACTTACGTCATCTATGCTTTGACTGTGGCGGTCCACGCAAACTTGTGCCCTATATTTTACCATCTACAATATAGACAGGTAAAGATAAAAGCTAATGCGATGCATCTGAGGAATCCAGAGACGGAAAAGAAAGTCAATGGAAAGAAGACAGATGTCCAACCTGTTTTAAAGTATCCCTGTTACGTAATTTTTTGAGGTCTCCGTCACTGTCTGGGAGACATGCTTTGTTTTCTGCAGAGACAAAGATTTTCTCATGAAAACAAATAATATAAATATTTGAGTTATGTTCTGTATCATGTCATTATCAAATGATTCATACCCGACGCGAGAGTCTCCGAGGAGAGTTCTGAACAATCCACTGACACTCCTTCCAGAAGATCAGCCAACTGGAACATCTCATCAGGAGAATCCACGAGGACCCCCTTTGGACTTCCAATATCGCTTTTGATCTCTGGGAAAAGAAACATTTGAGAAATCAGATTAGGGAAACATCTTTCTTCTGAAGTGGCCATGTGTGCATTTAGGATCACAATGACATGAAAAAAAAGAAATAAAATCCTCTCACCTTCCTCTTGCCACCCCTCGTCTTCTATTCGAGCCCTGCGGCCCGTGTGGAACCCAGAGGTGCGGGCGCTGCCACGGCTGGCCGCGGAGCCCAAACAATTCTCCGCTTGCCGTTGACCTTCCTCCTCCATGGAGCCCATCTCGGCGGAGAGGCTGTGTTGACGGGCATCGGCTTCAATCCCGGAGCTGCTGGTCGAGCGTCGGGACAGACCCGGGCTGCTCTCGCTGCCGGGGGGGTCCATGTCCAGGTCATCACTAATGTATGACTCTCTGTAACGCTTTTTATCTAAAACAAACAAAAGAAAACACCTTATTTTTTAGAAAATTGGAACATATAATTATGTAAATTACCTGAGGATATTTGTTAAGAAGCTGCTTATGAAATGGTAGACATAATAATGGTAACTCTTTAAGGGTTGCATATCTGATGAGACTATATTTAGACCTCTAACACACCAGAAAACTTATTTTCAGAAGGATGACTGGGAATTAAGACTTTTAAAAACATTTTATATATATATATTATATATAAACACACCACACACACACATTTCTTTTCCCCAACAGAAACCGCTTGTGTGCAACGAATGTGGTTATTAAAACAAGAACCCCTTTGCTTTCTTTTTGATGGAACAAGCGTCTTTTCCAAAGTCCTGCATTAAACTTTCAGTGTCTTTAAGTGGCCACCATCCAAACCTTAATCATCCCCCATACTGATCACGTCTGTGTATCGTCCCTCCTTCCTCACCTTCTCCCTCCTCCAGCTTGCGTATGTGTTTGAGGGCAGGCTGGAGGCTGAGGTAGAGGCGATGGCTGCTGCTCAGGTGCAGGAGGAGGTGGCGAGAGCGAAACGATGACCCGGTGTAGTAAACCAGCTTCCTGGCTGATGGCAAACCATCTGGCTGGATCTCGAATTTCTTGCCCTGAAATGAGACGCTCGGTTATCCCGAGTGTACAAAGCTAATGGCCATTAAATAATTATCACAATTCTGCTTAAATTCAGCAGAGAAGGGAAGTAAGAAGCGTGGATACCAGGAAGGTGAGACGCCCCACGTTTGACCAGGGGAAGTTGTACAGCATCTGTCGCATGTTGTTTACCTCCTATGAATACAAAAAGACACGCACAATTCAAATGAACAGCTCAACTATTTTTCAGCTTTTGTGTTTTGAACAACACGAGGCGTCTGGATGTGTCTTGATGTATGATCAATAATCAGTTGTCTTTTTGCTCAAAAGGAACCATCTGGACGTCTTGGTGAAGAGGCCACGGGCTTCTCCAGATATCTCACGCTCTGCTGGCTCTTTAATCAGACAGGCCTGGAGCCCTAATCCCCCCCAGATGGCCCGTGATGGACAGATCAAACAACCGACTGGCACGGCAGACTACTCGTATCTCCTGGTGCATTGCAGTTGGTGGCGATCCCACACATTCTTCACACGTCTAGTCGGAAGACTAGAGGGTTTGAGCGGACGCAGATTCCACCCTTTAAATACGCGTGTGCTATACATCTACGACACACTCGCCCAGGCACATACCTGATAAACTTGCATTCCTCGTAGGGTCAGGCCGAGTAACGCCGTTCCTTTCTCTGCCTTTTTGTCCTGGACAAATGAACGATAAGATGTCAGAGAGGTATGTGAGGCGTTCTGATAAGGAAGCTGCTCCGCAAACTGGAGCCCGTCTCCTACTTCAATGGGCTGCTGCCAACAACAAATTCAAAAGCAATAGAACGCTACACACCAGAGCGGTCAGGCTTCAAAATCACTCAGTAGAGGAGTAATCCCGGAATAGGGAGGACAGTAAACTGACCGTAATGATGAAGGTTAAATAACTGCCCCAAAGTTATTTGTCCAGCAAAGCTCGAATCACGCCAAACTCGTTTAATTTATTTGGATAAAACATTACTTTAGTCACAGGGAAGTAATACGTCTGGAATGTCTGCAGATAAAAATGTGCTAAAATCAGATTCCGCTACGCACCAGCCTTAATAATCAGCATTGCTCATTTTAATAACAATAACAGCCTGCAGTATGGTGCGTGCAACAAATATCAAACTACTAATACTAAGAAACAAAATGGACCTTCTGCAGTCTGTAAAACGTGACGGGCACGTCCTCCAGTCGACAGGCCTCCTTGATGAAGAGCAGCATGGCTTCCCGAGTAGACATGCCCCACAGCTCCTGATGCACCTTGGGCCCATGGCAGAGGAGGTAGTCCGGTCCACGCTTAGATAAAATCTACACCAGGACGAATGAGACAGACATTGGCTCCCATCAAATATATTGCAATAAGGATGAATGCATTATTATTTTAGATGAAAGTTGGATTTTTCTTCTTTTCAAAAGAAAACATTTAAATACTTCCACCTACCCAAGGGGGGAAGTACTCCTTGGGTTCGAAGTAAGGCGTGACCTCCATCCCCTCCCTGGGCAGATGGTGGTCACCGAGACTGGCCTGCAGGGCGTAACCTGCCAGCTGGAAGTACACCTCCTCCTGCTGCCGGCATTCAGAGCGGAGCACCCGCTCCCGCAAGTCGGAGTAGTAGAGGTGCCGTGCCTTACGTTCACTGGTACCGCAAACGAGAGGGAGGCACCAAAGGTTAGACAGAGAGGAGGACGGGTGTCGAGTAGCGAGGAAGATGCACGTAGAAGGTGTAGGAAAAGGACGTACCAAAAGAGTCTTCCGTTTTCTATGTAGTACTGCACTTTGAGGCAGAGCACCAGTGGCAGCGGTCTCTTCAGTAGTCCCTGTACGCAGGAAGAGACGGGTTAAGAGAAAGTCTGCGTGCGTCTTTTTGTCATGCATGTAAGTTTGGACAGTGAGTCAAATATGCTTCATAATTTACTCCATCCAAATGTTCCACCCTTTGCAACAAGGTGCCTTACCTTTCCAAAATCCTGCATCCATTCCTTAGGAAAGTACTTAGTGATTTTCTCCTCCAAGTCTAAAAAGATGTGCTCATTGTCTGGGAGGATAAAAAGACAACGAGGAAACCAGCAGACAGTTAGCGAGCAAACGAGACCACGATGTAACCAAGCGTAAAATGTGCTGCAACAATTGAATTAGCCGAGAAAAAGAAGCTCTTGTTCTTTCCTTTGTTAATGAGGCTACTAGGAGGCAAATGACAACAATGCTACTTTTAATGCATCTATTTTCAGATTTCCATTGAAGCGTGGCAGGGCAGACCACACACTGCCAGCATTCTCAAAATGAGTTGACGGCTGGGAAGATGAACTCAAAAGAAAGCAGAGCTTTAGTCTTTGGTATTTAGCTTCTTATGCTTCCATTTATGTCGAAGTTCATTTCTAGTTCAGTTGCGGGGCTCAGAATGCCGACGGACCCCTTTGCTGGGAATGAGGATGTTGTATCACTCTCAGCCGGGTTCCAATGAGTCATGACATGGGCATTTTTTTTTGTGTGTTGTTTTTGTTGGATGCACCTTATCTCTTTTGTTCTACTTTGCGTAGCCAAATCGTGTTTGCCGAGCCGTTTCACAACTTATCCCTCTAAACATCCATCTGCCCTTTCAGCCCACTCTGACTCACTGCGACTCCCTCACCCTTCGTCCTTCATGGAAGTCTTTTGAGTGTTTTGTCAGCCGGCCTGTGTCATGACTAGCTCCCCCACCTCCATCAACCCCCTTTCCTCTTCTCATCATCAATCCGTCCCTCCCCTCAGTGAAGAGGAGGAATGCAAGAGTGCATTCCAGGCTTAATGAAGTTAATATTGCAGGAATCCAGGCCTAAGTGATCGCTGAACCAACATCACAAAAACAAAAAGGTTTCCTGTTCGGCTGGTGAGCCACAAAGGATTACCGAGGCCTTTGGACGTATTTGCGGAAACAAAAGGAAACAGAAAACCCAGAGGAATCAGAAAGTTCTGAACTTTGCGCAGCGGCTAAAGTGGATTACACCCCTCAATTATGCAGACTGGGACGGCACCACAAAACATGTCGGTTCTAATCAAATAGCTCTTTGGGTGGAAACATTTTCTACATTATTACAGAATCAAGAGCCACTGAAAGAGCCCCCTGCAGTTAATCGGCGTAATCCAAACACGATGCCCTCGTTTAAAATCTAACCGGTTGACGCGTGCATAAACCCAATCAACGAACCGCTCTTCTGACGGTACCGCCTCGTACTCCAGTGCAAACAGTCCTTTCACGCTGGGCGGCTGAGGGGGGCCAGAGAGGAGGGAACTTACCCCTCACCACCGTGAGGCCAAAAAAGTGCAGCTGTTTGATTCCAAGACGCTCCGCCACTCGATTTAAAACATCCTGTCCCGACGTCTTAGGCTGGAAAGCAGAAAGACACAAAAGACGTGGGCCTTCAACACGCACTCACAAACTATGCACAACAGTCAAAATAGTTTTACCAAGATAAAACCAACGTTGAACATCTCTTTGCGATGGTCAAGAGGACGGCTGGAGACATTAACAAGACCCACCCCGAAGGTGATGTCCAGCTGGTCTTTGTTGGGGAGGAGAACACAAATGGTTCTCTCCTGCTTCATCGAGTTGGACATGATGGCCGAGGTGCTTTCTCTCTGTTGGAATGCCTGCGTCTCCTCTTGCTTCCTCTGTCCGTCGCGGTTTTATCTGCTCCGGGGAAGCTCGCCCATATTGCGCCTGAGAAGACGGATGACATCAGAGTGAGGTAAGCGCAGGAGACGGAAAAACACAATGAGACTACGTTTGAATTGTGCAGAAACACATTTAAAACAGATGCAGGTTCTGTGGTGTAACAGGTAACCTGCTGCCAACACTGAATTAAATACATGATTAAATGTATTTGAAAAAATATATATCTGGACTCAAGATACCAGAACAAATTGCCATGGTGAACAGAGACAGTCTACTTGCAACCAAGACTCATCTGAAGCTCGTCCAACTCTAGTGACCTAAAGCCCCAAGCGGTATGGGACTCATCTGATTAACGTTAATCAGGTTAATTACTGCCGCCCCCCCACTCTGATCCCCTTAAATCCTGCTCTTGACTGTAACCAGCGAGAAAAACAAATATGAACCTGAACTGAATCGATGCAGAACTTGGACAAACTAACTTCACTCTGTACTTTTTACATGAAACCTTCTGGGACTGTGGCAAATTTGTTTGCATAGGTTTTACATACGTTGGTTGAGATAACTACAAGAAAAAAAAGTGAAGTCAGCGCATGAAACATGTTAAGCGTTACGTGTTGGGCACGCAGAGCAAATTATTTGTCGTACCAGATATGATTATGGACAAGTTCAAACACGGCTCCACTCACATCTGTGTGTCAGTGCAAACCGTCAGAAGAAAACCTGAAATACCGGTAGCTTGAACGCCTCACTTCTTTAGGAGTCCAACGACAGTGTACATTTACACGGATAATGTAGCACATGGTAAAGAACAGGCTCTAATCTAATATATATTATATATTTGTACACAGAACACTTACGACGTATAAATCATTCTGACAGCATTCTTTTTAAACACAATCTAGTTTTTGAGGGCTACTTAAATATAATGTATGCCCTTTCATATGCATATGAAATATACGTTACTCATAATTAAGTCTTCAAGGATTACTTGTACTATATATTTTTTTATTGTAATGAGAGGGAAGAGACAGAAGGAGCAACAAAAATCAATACAATAGAAATCTGGGCGTGTTTTCTGCATCTGCTCTGACTATAAACGGATTCACACTGTACATTTCAGTAATAACAACATGGACCTCGTTGGACATCTGGATTCCACTCGCAATAGAATATTTGCTCCATCATTTAGTTTATTTAAGCCATCTGTGTGTCATAACCCCAATCCCTGCTGCACCTCCTCTGCAGGCTGCACGGTGATCTAGTAAGAAGGGGTCCCCCATCCGAAAAGGAGGCGAACACCGTTTCCATGGGACCCGCTCATCCCCGGTGGGCCACATTCACAAACATCACACTTTCTAGGAACCTGGAAGCCGGAGGACAAAACGTCCCATGCCGGTGAACTCTAGTCGAGCTTTAACGTTAGTTCATTAAACATATGGAATGTATGTGTAAACTATAAAAACAGAGCTAATTCAGGGCTAAAGTAAGTCACGTGTAACGTTACCAAAGTCCGTGGGACGATTCTAACGCAACAAGTGCATCTCTGACTAACGTTAGCTAACTTAACGTTAACTAGCGACCAAGCGGCCAGTGACTCACCGTCACATCACACGAGGCGAAGGGTCTCAAGTCTTCAGGAGCAGGTCGGTAGTGTTCGTTCCGACTAGAAATGGACTTTTCTCCGCCGAACAACAATCCTGACAGAAGTTGGGAGGACGCCCGTTTCTCCCGCTGCGTGTTGCAGCCCAACTTCTTCAACCGCGGTGCAGCCCTGACGACCGGGCCGAACCATTACGGGTAGCTGTAGGGGTCGTCTGTTTTGGACTCTTGTTGTAAATGTTCGTAAAAATGTGATTCTACATCTAATATTTATTCGAGTGTTAAGCCCATGGATAACAATGAAAAATAATTCTGTATATATCAATTAAAAAAAACAAAAACATTTTCTACGCAGTTCCCGGCAGAAATGTCCCCCAATCTTTAGTTGGTTTAGCGATCTCGTTTTAATTACAGTCCCAGGCAACGCACTTGTTTGGGACCACTGCTGTTGCGGTGAGCAGGCTTCGGTCATGTTTTCCTTAAACATTGACAAGTGCTTCATTTGTAAAATTGTGTTCTTCAGCAATACCCCGGTGTTTTTGTGCTTTCAATAATCTTCTCTTGAAGTTGATGAGGTAAACGCTGGTACTTAAACCCCACGATATAATCTTTTTATGTCGTTTCGCATTGGAATACAAATGAATAAGAATCTTTCTCAGGGACTTGAGTGCTATTTTTACACGAATGTTTATACTTTACTCATGTGGGCCTTATTATTTCCATAAAGATTCTAGGCAAAACACGCCACACCAATTCCCACTTTTATTGTTGGCCTTTAAAAGAACACGTTACTGTGATGCCACTGCCATCTGCAGGGCCCTTTGATCAATTGAAACAAATAATCTAAATAATGACAAGAATGTAAGAAAGAAAAGTAACTTGACCAACTTTATAATATGCTTATTTAATGGTAGAATACGATGATATATAAACAATTTTCCAAGAAATATTTTTTTTAATTCCAAGCAATACTTTCCACTAATGTCAACCAAATACTTTCAATAAAATAAGTTCATATAACCAATATGTGCTTTTGCTGAACGGTGATCATTGCTTAACCCCTGTATTAAAACAGTTTTATGCTGTAGGTGAAGCTTTATTCTCCCAACACCAGGTTGGATGAATATTGCACAGAATTCTGCAATGGCAAAGAACAGCAAGTACTAAGACCAAAGCAAGGGCCGCAAAGTCTGAGCAACAATCCTATTTCCAATGCGATCTGTCATTAAAAATGATGGAAAATTGTTGATACAAAAAGTAACTTGTACAAATGACCATTCTCTGTACAAAAGCTTCTAAAATGTAGTTGTGATGCATATCAATGCAGTATTTCTTAAAATCAGTGAAAAACATTTGTTAGGATGAGGACATAATGTGCAGAGATTTGGGCCAGCTCACCAAAACAGCCATTTGTATAGCAGCTACATTTCCAGTTCAGCATCTAAAATGAATTGAATAAGTACAAACATAATACATAAATACCACTGAAAATATAGCATATGGTTGGGGGAGGAGGGAGTGGGGCTTCCAAAACACAGAAAAAACATTTAAAAGATTAGAGTAGAAAAAATAAAAATGTCCATATCTGCTGTGATTCCAATATAAACATCATGAAATGAGAAAGAAAGTTGTGACTTTGCTCATGTTTTTAAAAACTGATTATATGTATTTAAAAAAACAACAAAAAAAAACAAAGATGATTTCCATATACGATAATCAATTAGCTGAAGTGAGGTATTAGCTCCATGTTCCTCTTGTCCAACAGTGTTTGATCCTGCCACAGTTCTACTGAAAGAACTTGAGGCCCGCAACTAGGAAGAACTTCTCCAGGAAGATCTCAGAATCGAGCACGGCGATGTGGGCGGCCCGGCCGATCAGGGAGTTGGCTGTGTTGGGTAGGGCGTGGATTACATCGAATCGCACCAGATTACAGTCTTTGTTCTGAAGCACCGGCAGCAGCAGGTTCTCAATCATCTCGGCATACACAGGACCTGGTGTGGACAAGAGAAGGGCTGAGCAGGGCAACGTTTGGTCCTTCTTGTGTGCTTTAATTCTCAGCTCAATAGGCGAAATTGTGTAATGGCACAAGGTTTAGTGTGGCAACATAACTATTCAATCTAAACCCACCTGTTTGTTTGTCCTTTAATGCAGTTTTGCACATTTCTATTCGAGCGGAATGATAGGGGACATAACGATCCTGCAGTGACCCGACCAGTACCACATTCCTGAAAAACTGCAGACCTTTAAAAGGGGGATGACAGAAAATTCATTTGTATCATCTCGTATTTCACATATATATAGTATCAAATGGGGTTTTTTAAGCTGAAAGCTTACCAGATTTTTTGCTGAGTTTGTAGAGGAAAGTTTGGCGAGGATCAGAGTTATCGCGGCAAGTAAGCTGAAGGAGTGACCCGGACTTTTTCCACTTTTGCATGAACCAAAGGCCTAGGAACAAACAAACAGTCATTTCACAGGCTTCGCCGCAATGACAGATCGTAGATAGATAGATCTAGTAAAGTATCTGAAAATGCCAGCTAAATGTTTTGAAACACACCTGTGTTGACCAGAGCAGAGCTGTTGTACAATGTTCCCAGGTGAGGTCCAGAAAGGGACAGGAAGGTGTGCAGCCTGCTCAGGTAACATTTAAACCTGGGCCTTGTCAGCACTGAGCGAACAATGAGGTTCCCCAAAGAATGACCCACAAAGCTGCAGAGACCACAACCACACCAGACCACATTTGTATGCACATCTTTCACACATTTACAGTGTTGTAAAACACATTTAACTAACAGAACTTTCCAGATTATATCTTGAGTGATGAAGTTGGCTAAAAACATTCTAGGTCAAAAAAACTACACATCTTATTTGGAGTTCTGTTGAGAACATAGGCTTATTTGAACAACTAATTGCGATCTAATGAACCAGTTAAGTATCCTTACTGTAGATAATACACCATATATTGCATTTATGTAGAGCAGATGTTACCTTATCTTTGACACTGTGAGGTTGTATATCTGAATATACTGGACTATTTCATCCAGCAGTCGGTCCGTCATTGACTCAAAATCAGCAAAAGTATCATTCTGTGGATGAAAAGAACATTTAATGAAAAAAAAAAAGAAAGGACAATAAAAGGTTTTACAGCTCACCCGTAAGGAGAACAGGGCCCCGTTCCTCGTACCTGGCTAGATGAGTTACCGGATCATTTTCAGGAAAAGATTAAATAAGTCTGGCCTTTTGGTTCCAGAAAGCAAGTTTTGCAAAATCACCATAGCAACCGTGTCGGCGACAATTTATAACTCCTAGTTCTATATGGTCACAGCGCATACAGTACATGCATCTTCATCATATCATATTATTTATATCAATTGGATTCTATTCGTTTTATTCTGAAAGAGATAATAATATTTAGCTATCAAGATTTCACTGGATGATGCATTCTATTAAGAATACTGCCAGCAGTCACATTTAAAGACTAAATGGTGTGATGAGGCACTTCAAATTAGCCTAAACACATTGAACTTGTGTGCGATATTTTGCCGCGCTCCTTGTCTAGCCCACACAGTGTTGGTGGTGTAAGATTTCCAATTCATTTTCTATAGCCTTTCTATAACCTTTGAAAAAAGGAAGAAACTTTAGGGAGAAGGACTGAGGAGGATCCCTCTCCCGGGATGGAGAGACTGCAACGTATGTCATGTGTACAGAATGAACAGTGGAAAAGATTATACCAGTTATACCAAGGGCAGTACCCCCATAATGTTCGCCGGCAGAGAGACCAGCACACAGAATCTACAATCAACCACATTGTTTGAGCGCGGCTCAGCCTTTGAGGAACCGAGAGAGCCTGACTTCAATCCTCTGGTTATTTTAAGGACATTTGATCGACAAAGACCACGTACGAGGAACGGCGCCCTGATGACAGTAGTTTCTGTTGGCTTATCCACTCACCTGGTTCCTCTCTGACATCAGAAAGTCTATGCGAGCACCAGGCAGTCCCAGCTCCAGGTAAGTCTTCACCAGTCTCAGGTCGGCACTGTTACCTGCGGCCGTAAAGCAAACAGAAGACGAAAGCAAAAGGTTGTGTAAAAAAAAAAAAAAAAAAAGAAGTAAAGAAGAATGATTGAGAGCAGACAGTCAGGTTTCCTACCGTCCAGGCCGTGGACGCAGACTATTAGATGGATGCCTTCCTCACAAGTTTCATCTTCCTCCAAGCTGAAGTAGGGCACCGTGGACGCCAGCTCAGATACTTCACTGTACAAGAAGCCCGGCAGCTTTAACTGTTTCATTTCCTCCTTTGCCTTAACGAACCTGCGTAATTACAGTAAAATACTTCATGAATATTTTGCCCGGACGGGACCAATACCTGCAAGTTCAACATTAAGGATATGAGAAAAATAGTGCGGTACGACTCACGCTTTCGTTTGTGGCGTGGATGCGCACTCATACCACGGCAGGCTGGAGGAACAGGAGGAGGCGGGACGGGGAGCTCTGCCCGAGCTGTGCCCCGCGCCGCCGGAGGCTCGGTTGGAGCAGATGGGAGCTTTGGATAGGTCCTTTGTCTCGTGGGGGTAACCGATACCAAGCTGCTCGAACAGAAGACCCGCATCCGAAGCGGCGCCGCCACGCTCCTCGTCGGCGACGCCGTTGGCGAAGGCGAAGCCATCCCCTTCCTCGTAGAAGCCGTTCTCGATCATCTCATGCTCAGGCTCGTCTTCGTCCTCATCGTCGGCCCGGGGTCCCTCCTGGCTTCCCAGGGTGATGGCGGACGTTTCCACGGGGCTGATCTCGGACACGTCGGCGCTAGAGCACGAGCCAAAGTAGTTCTCTACCATCCCGCGTTTCACCAGGTCGGTGCTGCTGGTGCCGGAGTTGCTGGAAGGGCAGGCGGTGTGGGGGTCACTACGGGGCTCTTTAACAGTCCCAAGATCAACAACGCCAGTTAATTTGGAGTCAGTTTCCTCGTCAGAGGATGGTTTTCTTAGGTTGGAGTTCCCTGCAGGTCTCGGAGAGATTTCCCCAGAGAACACCAGACTCTGCTCCTGCACCAAAACACTGGACTTCCTGCCTCGGAGTTCAGCTCCACTGGAGCCCCTGGAGGAACTTTCCCCCTCATCGTCTGAGGGCAAGGAGTTGATGGAGGTGAGAGAAGACTGCACTCCGCTGACAGCACTGGTGTTTTCTTGGTGTAGAATCTCTGCTGCTCCACTGGGCTTCTGCGCCGAGCTTTGCAGAAGTGGCCGTAGTGCAGCACTCGGAGGGGGCTTCTCAGGATGGGGGGCGGCGGCGGCGGATTCAGCGAAGTCTAGCCGTCCGAAACTCTGAAGTCCTGGAATCAGCTGAGTGGCAAAAGAGCTGGGCTCACTTTCGATGCCAGAGTCGGAGAGTCGAGACGAGGCACCGGGGGCTCCTCCGTCCGGCAGCCTGATGAGATCGCTCTTCGCCTGCGCAGGGACCAGACCGGACTGGCTACGCAGCGCCGCTTCTGCACTGGGCCTTTCAAAAATGGAGTCCACCACAGACTGCTTTGATTCACAGACGTCGGTCTGGGTGATCCCGGCAACGCTGCTGCTTACGGTCGTATCCGTCTCACAAGGTAGCAGAACGGTGACTTTGTCCCCCTGGTAAGGGTCCTTTTGACTTGGTTTCACCTCAATTTGCTTCAGCCCAGCAGACCACTGCGGCAGCGTTTGGCCGGCATGGTCAACTTGGTCCTCGTGGCGAAGCGGCTGGTTGCATGTAGCAATAATCCCAGTACCAGCCTGAGGATTATTCTGTGCGTCAGAATTTGCAGGTTTTTTAAAGGAACCTCTTTGACAAGCAGCAGAACAAACATTGTCATCTGCAACAGACTCCACAGCACTGTTTTCACAGAGCGCCGAAGTGGCACCAGAGTCGAAAACCGAATTTGCATAAGTCTGTAAATAAGTACTTGAGTCGCTTTGTAATGCACCTCGATCCTCTTCTTGGTTTGAGAGAGCTTCCCCTTCCATGTGCTTTGCGTCAGCATTAGGAGCTTTGAGGTTCTTATAGCCCACCAACACCACAGAGTCTTTGGCGGCCGGGCTAATCAGCTTCTTTGAGTTCTCAGCCTTTGCATTTTTCTTCAGTTTCACAGACTTGCCTTTGGACTTGGGTGGTGGATCATAGCTGTCTGGCCAGGGGTTTTCCATAGAGGCAAACTGAGACTCGGGTACGGGGCTGGCTGCTGCTGCACTGCACTCCTTGGAGCTGGGCTTGTCCGTTTTGCTGGACACTGAGCCGGTCCTTGTGTTGTGCACGCCCAGCCAGGGCCCGTCGCGATCTTCAGGTTTAAACCATGTCGAAGACAAAAACATCATTGTTTTACAACAAATAGCCAATGCTTACTGATTCTAAAGGTAGTGGAGTGGTAAGACTGTATTACTGACCTTCAGTGATGGAATCTAGGTATCTATCCTCAAAGATGATTGGCAGGGAGCTAACGTCACCGTCTAGGTCTGCACATTCCACTGGAAGTGCAGGCAAAGACAAGAAATAGCTGGAGCTTTTGATAGCATTAGTCATCTGCTGGTGACTGTAAGCACTGTTGGAGGAGGGGAGGGAAGGAAGGAGAACGGTTAGAAAAAGAAGAAAAGAAAAAAAAGAAGAAAAAAAAAAACATATCTGCATTATTGAGTCTGTGCCGGCAACGACTGGCCTGAAATATTGTCATCAAACACTGAATTATATAACGTGGACAAACATGCCACTGCAACTTACTGTAGTTCCTGATACGCTAGTGCAGATTGTCTTGGATGTTCAAGACAAAAGAAAGCCTCAGCAAACCGCCTTACCTGTAACGAAACCACATTACAGAGTATATACGTTTGAGATTTAGCCCCTGGAGTATAGTTTGGGATTATGTATTGCATGAAAAGAAGATTCCGTTAATTCAAGAAGGTTCTTAAGCGGGTTTAAGCGGGTGGGACTCACCCTCAGCGTATGGTGCTCCATGGCTAGTAGGGCAGCAACATGCTCCTGCAGGGAAACTACCTCTAGGAATTGTCCCCAGAGAGCCATGAGCAGAGAGCAGAGCTGGGCCAGGTTCATATTAACCAGCTCTGCCAGCTCATCAGGGGACTCCGCTTTCTGCTAAAAGGAAGAGGACACCAGTCACCCACAGGGCTCCCTAAAAAACGGGTCTGAACACAAACAAAACCAATCCCTCAATTCCATGACCCACTAGTGTTTTGCGGGTCGGTGTCGGCAGAGACTCGTTCCTTTAGGATTTGCACTGCTGACACACAAACTGAATAGTTTACCATCCTAAAAACCTGCTTTTGATATTCAAATAAAGCTGAATATGAAGCCTCCAAAATAAATAGACCGTATCTATTTCGAGTCCTGTGTCCGTCATAGCTACTGTTGGATATCTAATATGAAAAACTGTATTTGGAAGGAAGGTGCTGCTCACTGCAACAGACAAGTAGAACCTGAATAAAGCACCACCTCATCTACAGAAATTTGTAACACATTAGCTCATACTGAGAACCACAGGTAGGCTAACCTACCCGCATCCAACTACAATCAGATTGCCTGTCTGCCAACAAGTGAACACTGCAGCGGCACAAAGGATTCAGTGACTGCGAACACACCTCTAGCCACCTTTCTTTACCTTCCTTTTCTCCAAAAAGGCTTCTCTCCAACAATGCAAACGCAAACCGTATTCCCCTGAGGCAGCCGTTATTTGCAGCCACAAACGCAGTTTGCATGCATTTCTTGCGACCTCCTCCTGCCCTAATGAATAAACGCTTGTTGCTTCCCAATGAAGGTTTCCGAATAATGGCCTACTGAGGAAAGATCAAAAAGGTCTTACCTTGACATGTTCACATAACTCCGCTAGACGGGCGTCCAAGTCGAGTTGTTCTGAGAATGCAGAGCAACAGCACTACTAAGAATTATAACTCATCTATTTGATTGTGCACAACGGTTTTAAAAGGGCCCGTGATACAGGCAGAACAAGGATGTGGAGTTAGACAGCACTCAGAAGTCAATACAAACTCTAGAGAACCACTTTGTTAGGACTCTTTGATCAATGCCTGGTTATAAAGAAAGAAAGAAAGAGAGATCTATCTATATATCTATATAAACACACACACACGCACACACAACAGCAATTTAGGCATACGGTCTCTGGAGAATAGGACATACAGAAGATATAGTATTTTCTACAAAGAGGAAACTAGAGTGAAGAGGAAATAAGAGAGAGGAAGGCCGGCGGGTTTGAGGTACTGGGAGGCTCGGAACATACCTATGTAGACGTGCCTTTGACTTCGGGGATAGGGTCTCCTGAGAACTCGCTCATATAGGACTTGCATGCTGGGCTTGGCTAGTAAGATTGCACATAAAGGCATATTTAACCTTGTTTGGTCTTTGGGGATAGGTTAATATTTGTCCAGTTGTGTGGGGAAGGTTAAGTGAGCCAGTTGCAACAATAACCTGTGTTTAGGAGTGGTTATTCTGAGGCTTCAGTCTAGGGGTCAATAGACTTATCGAACGAGTGCAACAAACATTTTGTAAGTATAATGAGCAAAGATGGACTACAGTTAGCTTGCTGAATTCAGTTAGAGGGCTGTGTAGTCTGTGTAGGGGATAATATGTCAGTATGAAAGGATCATGTGAAATGATGAGAACTCAACAAACTCGTAATATACAACAAACACAGGCGCTGAAAAAACAACAAAAACAATGAGAATCCAACCATTCACAAGGCATTGATTGTACTGTATGACCCTGAGAATACTTGTGTCTCCTCAGTGCTTGAGTTCAAATAAGATGACTGTTTTATATACGATTTGGTGCAACCTGTTGTTATCCCCACACTGGGACATGAATTACAGTGAAGCTTTAGTGCTGTGTACCTAGTTCCATACGATGGGAGGAGGGCAGGTCCTTGGTAATGGAGGTGAAGTAGTCAAACAGGCCCTGGTAGGCCAGGAGGAGATTGGAGCAGAGGTTATGGTGCAGACTGAAGGCATGCTGCAGACAGTGGTCAGACACCAGGAATGTCCTGCCCTGAGGGATCATGAGGGACACAGACAGGATGCTGTGGGTGATTTAATTCTGGAAACAATATCAGAATCACTGACGTTCTGGACATCCTCAGCAGCTGTAAACAAAATTGCACTTGACAGCCTCCGGCAAAGGTGGAGTAAAACGCTCAGCAACCTAATATTATTATTATTTTTTTTTTTAAATAACGCATTCAATCTACAAAGTTAAACGCAATCTATTGAAAAACACCAAATCGGGTAAATCAATGAATGTTGAAAACGAGGTTCTTTAATAGCGTTCTGTAGTGGGTACTTTCCAGGTGTCGGGCGCTTTATTGCGCTTTGCCTGCGGGCGAAGCCTAGCGGAAGCCTAGCTCACACTACCGCACGGCGGGGGCAGCTTCAGCTCACCACCACGCCGTCGGGAGAAGCCAATTACTCCTGGCCAAATGTGGTAATGGCCCGATGGATGCCCCATCTGTCAACAGCCCGACAGGTCTGCTTCCAATGCAACCAATGTAACACAGCGTTCTGCCCCAGCTGAAGAACTGTCCAATCCGAGTAGTGATCAAAGCACGTATTACTGGCAGAAAGTATTATTAGGTCTATAACAACTGCTTACTTTTTATCAGGTGCTTTATTTAGCCCTTTGTATTACAGCAAACTTGTAAAGGGATACAACGGTGGCATCTTTTAGAATTTCCCGACTCAACCCGTGAAGAAGAATCTACAAAGGAAACACGACCACCTCCAAATACGTTGTGCTCGCCGCAAAGAGGATCCACTTACATCCGATGATACTTGCTTGACATAACTGCCACCGAACACCACACTTTCCAGAGGCGGGATGACGGAGTCTTTGCTCTGCGGTGGAGCGTTGCGGTTGAGCCACGTGCTTTTCACTGGTCGGGGCAAACTAAGCAAACACACAATGAAGGAAATCAAACTCTGCTAATCACCACAGATATCTAATGAGCACTTCTACTACATCGGTCACATATTACTGTACAAACTTGTCAAGTCAAATAAAAGGAAAATGTAATGGTAAATTTGTCGTCAAGTTTGAACCTACTGCAAACAACAATGGTAGATAACGTGATGGAGATGTATGAACGAGCTGCAGCACTTCAAATGAATGCACAACTTAAGTGAGTGTGAAACACGTCCACGTGTTAGGAAGCAGTCTGACCTGATAAGGGGCTGATGTAGAGCCACTAGGGAGGCGTGGATGGCTACGGACATGACAGACAGGTGAAAGTAGTCAAACATGACATTGACGTGTTGGTGGATGCCTCGCTGAAGGCTAAAGTGCAAACGAAGTGTGCGGCCACTGATATTCTGCAGAGAGCTCGGATCGTCTGGCCTGTGGAAATGAAATGAGGAACAAAAAGGTACAGTGTCATTTCTTATGAGAGATGCAAACATCGAATTCACAGCCACCGAAATGAGAACATGCCGTTCAAATGTTGCAACACCTACGTGTAATCGCCATCTGTGAAATATAAATCCAAGAAGAGCTGGAAATCAATGTCATTGAGGGACTCTTCCACCTGAGAATATTGAAAAACATGTGGAGAGGGTCCAATTTAGAGGCAGTGTGCTGAAAGCATATAATGTGCCGAGTCTATCAGCAAGTCTATCACTGCTGGAGGTGTGTCTTTTTCTCTTGATAGTATCAGCACTAATAAGCTGGATACATTTTGAAGCCTTTGTTATGTTATCCGTCTCCCTGAGGACAGCAGATGTCAAAAACACTCCCATGCGCTCGGTTAGAACAGCTGAACCTCGGCACAAAAACAAGGCTCTCCAAGCAATCAACTGTGGAGCTGCTCCACATAACAAAAGCAATTTTGCATCAGATATTCATTCATCGCTTTTGTTTTGGGGGGGGGGGGGTGGTCACTTTTAATCTGTTCCTGTGACATGTTTGTTTGCCTTTGGTCACATCCTCTTTTCCTTAAGGTCAACATGACATTAGGGTCTTTTGCTCACAATAATCACATCACTGGTAAGATTGTGCACTAATTTAGGAGAGAAATGCAGGAAAACGTACCTTCTTCTCATCCAGCAGCATCATCACTTTGAAGAGGAGGACATCATTGACCACAATCTCTTCGCTCTTGTACAGAATTTGGAACGTTTTGCTGCAGATTACTTCATCTTGGACTGAAGCAGGAAACGCCAGATCAGAGCCTAAACAAAAAACACCAGAATATATTGAGTTTATGGAGAAAAAAACAAACAAACAATTGAAGCAAACCAGTGTGTTTTTAACTATTTTCTGTATAAACTTTAGGAAGGAATCATGCGACCAAATCGGGTCTGCTTTGGAGATGAAAGCCCAGTGAAGTGCTGTTTACTCGTCTACTCTATTCAACAAGGTGTTCAATGTAATATAAATGGAACATTTAAAACATTCAAGCACCGGAATTACACACCTCTGATGATCCTGTTTATTTAAGAAACAAAGAATTGGTGTGAGTGTATGTCAGTGTATGCATGCATACGTCTGTGTATATGAGGGTGTGTTTTGTCTATATGTATGCATGTATGTGTGCATATCTACGTAGGGGTATGTGAGTATATGTGTATGTATATTGAGAACGGGTGGTTGATTTTTAATGTATATCTGAAAATGAATAAAAACTTTGATCACAAAAGAAAAAGAATTGAGGTCATTGTGCAAAATGACAACAAGGTCAACAAGTTCTCTTAAGCAAGGGGCTGCAGCATATTCTATAAAGCCTTAGAGAAATAATGAGAACAAGGATTGGCCTGTGAGATAAGCCAGTGCCCTACCAGCTCCCTGTTTCGACAAATCTGCAATAACATTTTTTTGATGGAACAATACCCATATCAGAGAGCTGAAAGTGATGTGTGCACTCAAAGCATAAGAAGGTGACCCGCCTTCACCGGGACACTGGTGTTGTTATGTGTTGACCAACTGGATCCCCAAAGGCGGCACAGATCCTTTCAAAATAGGGAAATGGCCCCTTTCCATCCTCAAAAATGCATTTACCTCCCAAGTGAAGTATACTGGTCTCGACTTTGTGTGGAAACCGGGGTGGCAACTTCAGACCAGCACGAATCTGGTAGAACCTGGAAATGAAGGACACACTGTGTATAAAGCCTTGTCCACGGCAACATTGGAGGTTCGGTGAAGGAGGGACAAACTGCACGGGTCAGCCACAGGCACTTGCAAAATTACCCCACAACTTTTATGAATAAACAATGATCACTTTCTGTCGCTGTCACTCTTGTAGTAAACCTGAGCTCTTAAAGCAGAGACGAGCCAGCAGCATGGAGCAGTTTTATCTCAGCAAGTGTCATTGGACTGCTGCTGCTGTGAAAAATTACTAAAGTTTTAGGGATAGAGGTCTCCCAAGAGATATATTTTCAGGTTTGGATAGAACACAAGTAGTTCTACATTTTTAATATCCCTGCAGCACAACTGTCATCAAGATATAATACAAATTCAGCGGAAAGTGAGGCAGACCGAGCTGGCTCCTCTTAGTTGGTTAGTTATGACTAATGACACAGATCCTGGTCCCCTTCTACCACTAGCAGCAAATCCCTCTAAAGCGTGCCATCGCAGTGGATTTATTGAATTAGCAAGGTAGACCTCTGTAATGCATGTTAGAAATACACATATTTGGTAATAGCGTGAATGAATCGCAACCTGCTCGAAACTTATGGGGCAAAAAGAGCAGAGACAACGTGGAAACCACACACCCTCTTTGGAACAAGTCCACGTTGTAGAACTTGTGGAGCTCCACAGAGAACTCCACCGTGGCCTGGACTTCAGTCATCTTGGGCTCTACAGGCAGGGGTGCCTTACATCATCCGGGGTAAATCTGCAGGCCTACAGGTGAGTATTCAGATTAGTCATTTTAGCTCCAGGATTCTTTTGTAAAAAAAAAAAAAAAAAAAACGGTAAATACAAGATAGCACAGAAATGATCCACCAAGTTACACAAAGTCATATTAACAAGCCCTGTTAGCTTCTGCAAGATACTAGGAGAGAACTATTAAAAAAACACCAGGAGTAGTTACACAGGTCACCCGATCCAGTTAAAGAATATGCGAGATTTGGATTATCTTTAAATGGGGAATTATTACGAGAGTGGGGTTGACATCTATCATAGCAGGCATCTTGTCCTCTGTACCCAATTGGTTAATAGCCCTGATAATTATAGCGTTGGCATAGCAGGGGAAGTATTATATAGAACATTGCAAATATAGGCCTGAAATACAATGTTACCAATTGGTAGTGTTAGACATAAAACACAGACATCCCTGTAAGTAGATGCAAACATTTTAAGCTATATTATTAAGATTATTAATATCTATTTCAGGTTAAAAGGTCATGTCTGCTTTTGGGCAGTTTCATGGGGGAAATAAAACTGGCAAAAGAAAATCATACAGACGGTCGCTAAATTAGTCATGCATTGAAATGAATAAATCATCCAGGGGGAGGGTGGGGGGGACAACAAGTCATTGTATTCATGCAAGGAAAAAACAATACGAGGTACAAACAGGCCCCCGGGAATTTGACCTGGTTGAGGCAGATCCCCCGATGAAGGGAAAATAGTTCCATGTTATGAGGATCCATTCCTGGAAGAAGTTATCTTTAAAAAGCTGTCAGTTCAAAACTAAAATTAAACTGGGCACGACACAGAGAACAAACAAGGAGTTCAAGTTAAACGAATAAACCGGCTGTCCCGGACTCATTTACGTTTTAACTTTAAGAGTTGGATTTCCACTTCATCATGTTTCACAGAAAGTGACACAATTTTTTTTAATGTATGTTTTGGTAGACAGATTGAGCACCGAGGTGAAAGGAATCAAGCCACCGAATAACAAAACACAGCAGAACTAAAAAAAGACGAGTTCAAACCGGGAGGTGTGAGACGATGACGTGGGAGGAAGGCGAGAGCCACGGCATTCATACGGCCGTACAATAGACACATCTATAAATATTTATTTACACGAACAGCTCAGCTGCGAGGACACACAAACGTAAATGTGCACAACTGGTCGGTCGAGTTGAGTGTCGGACCTTTTGTGTGAACGTGTGACACGAACACGTACGTGACGGAGGCTGATGTGGATGATTAGAAAGGGTGAAGAAAAAAGGTGTTAACTGCGTAGATGGACGAAACGTCGGTGCCAGCTGAGCGGCCAATGCGGACCAAACGTTCGTTGATAAACTCAATGCAACATTAATCTGGAAAAATAATCGGGAAAAAAAAACATAACGCCACATTCCAACTTCCGCGCGACGTTACGTTACCGAGACGTGTGACGCTGTGATTCAAGTCCACAACTTAAGTTAACGTCACGTAGGAGGAAAGAAGGTTAAAACAGTTAACGCTAACGTTGGTCTTGTTATATGTGTTTATACATGCGTGTATAAATACATAAAAGAAAGGCCTTCACATACTACGACGAATTGTCCACTATAAAAAACGGTCGCCTTTAGGTCACCAGCTAGAGCCCCATTCATGCCCCGATGTTAGCTGTTAGCACGCAAATCGTCCTGTAGCCGTTACCGGAGTGGGTTGAGTGAGGCGGTAACGTTACATGTCCCCGGCAAGTGGGCAGAATCACGGCGCGGGTCTAAAGGGTGACAAGTGGGAAGCTAACGTTAAATATAATGCCCGATGACCCCAAAACAGGGGTCAGGAACGATCTGAAAGAATACATACCGTCACATGCTTGAGCAGACCACCGTGAAATAAAAACGCTCCTCTGTCGCCAACTAACAGTAACGGCTAGCGTAGCATTAGCCACACACACACAACAGTTATCACCGGGTCTAACATTAGCCGCGGGAGACAGCTAAGCTAACGCTACTCACCATTGCGTTGGCAAGCTAGCGTTAGCTAGCTGGCAAACGTTAGCTCCAATTCCAGGTCCTCGTCCTTTCGCTGTGAACCGTGGCCAGAAAACACTACTGTGCAGACTGCACACTTCCTAGTTCGGCTGGTGTTAAAAAAGGAGAAACGCCCTTACAATGACAGACAGCTTCGAGCGGCCGCGGATCTCCCCGTGCAGCGGTGTTTGTGTTGGAAAGCCATCGAGCTAACTGCGCTCACCCTGAAGAGCTGACAGCAGCAGCCACAAGCGCAGCTCCACTGCCCCGCTTGCCAACACTTGGCTGCACATACCGGAGACGCAGTTGACGCGCATGCAAAATGAATGCCACATAAATGGAGTGTTGAGGTGTTGGATACATGTCAAAAAAAGAGATAATTATATAATTAATAGTAGTATCAGTAGTATATATTTTATAATTAGCCGTTAAAAGTGTTCATATATCCATACTTTTTCCATACATTTGCGTTGTTCGGCCCAATGGCTTGCGGTGTGTTTGGAAATTATTGCATGTCCGTGTAACTATTTATCTATTTTTTATTTTACTTACTACTATTTACTACTAATATTAAAACAAATGACTGAAAAACGTATGTTTCTTGGTGATGCACAACTAGTTGGAATGCGTTTGGATGCTTTCACTATGACTTAAAGCTTAGTCTTCCACCTTACTTCAGGAAAAAGTGCTGGAAAAATGAAACTGATGAAGTTTCCACACCTAATTTACTTGGCATACATGATCGTAACAATAGAACAACAAGTGTGTTACAATAACCTTTTTCCTGGAAAGAAAAATCAATGAATGGAGATAACTCCAGTGGAATGCACAGTGGAAGTTGACACTGTGGAGGATGTTGACTCACTCCCCCAAATATATACAGTCAAGCCTATAAGAGACACCTCACTGTGACCTGGAGGTTTTCACTCCTGCAGAGGGAGAAACTAAACGACTTGTTCTCTCCAGCAAGCCCATAGAAACAGCCGGCTGCAGGTGTTTCCAGATCAAGCTATGAAATGGGTCGAGTCAAAAGGTAAACTTTCTGTTACAGTGACCTGGGGAGTGTTGTGACTCATGTAATTGATGCCGAATGTGTGGCAGTCTATCATTTCAATACATAGGACATGTATCATGCAAACAAATACATTTCTTAACTCAACGTTTTTTTCAGATTGCGTTCCAGAAATATCCTTCTGTACGCCACACTAACACTAACACTATATTTGCCCAGGACTTCATTCTCAGAGTAAATTGTCTTCTGCACTGCAAAGCGCAATGGTTGAGATAACAGTGAGGAAGGCAAACAAAATAATGTGATAATTTCACATGAAAACTCAAAGACTCCACGAGTGATGTTCACTTGAATGCTGATTATCAGTGTCCCACTACATTCTCAAAATGTTAATTATACCCTTGCTGCTGTTTGTCTTTGGCTGAAGCACTTTCTCTGTGCTCTGCATGTGTTGGGGAATACATTCCCCTTGACATTGAATAATTGTTTATTTTTTTGTTTTTATACCTGACAAACTGTTTTTAACTGCATTCATTTCATGGCTATAGCATATAGTTGCATGAGGAGCTTACCTTACCTTACACACACTGTGCATTAAATAGTAATACCCCGCATTGATGAATACATACGGACAAAGCCAAAGTATTATGTTACAGTATCAATTGCGGTCCTGTGAACAGTGTCAGATCATTAATACAATGCTAGCAGCCTGCTTGTGAAATGTCTAAAGAAACCAATTGTTGCATGTCAAACATTTGGCTAATAAATGTTTCCTGATTTATTCGAACTCAATAAGATTTTTAACTTCCTGTCCAGATGTGTTGAAATGGGAAAATCTTGAACTTAAATGTTAAAGAGGAAACAGCAAACAGGCAGATAGTCTAATATTTATTCAAGCAAGCAGCACGGCTTTCCAAACACTGAGCTTTTATTTCCTCCTCACACACGCACGCACGCACACACACACACACACACACACACACACACACACACACACACACACACACACACACACACACACACACACACACACACACACACACACACACACACACACACACAGACAGACAGACAGACAGACAGACAGACAGACACACACTATGTCTACTAACCAGGTGCTTTGTTTCCATGTCGCAGCAGTGAGTTTTTCATCTCAAGTTGGTATTCATGTTGAACAGCAGTCCACGTGCCCTCAGATCAGCGTCGGGGAGGATCACATCTCAGGTGAATTCACAAAAACTATAAGCACAGCTGTTTATTTTTCCTGCCTACACAAAAAATATAACTATACATTTTTAATATATACAGATAAACTAGGTAGCTTATTATGCAAAACATGTTCTATCATAATTTTAGCAATTTGTGATACAATGTGATCAAGGTCATGGATCTCCAAGATGATGTTTACATTTAACCACTCTCTCTGTCTCTGCGCTTTTAGGGTTTCATATTATCTCCCAGTTCAACATTGCTGAGCTAGGCAGAAGGGGCACTGTTAAAAAGATTAAAGGTTCCTCTCCAAAGCACATTGCCTATCGAATCGGCCCAGCATTTAACTTCAGGGTTAACACAAGGTAAACTTCAGGGTGTATGGGTGAATACTGACCTCTAGCGGTTGAACTGGTATAACGTCATTTACCCTGTCCATGGTCCTGGACATAAAATACCTTGATCACCTGTACCAACGCATTCCTTCTGACAAAACAAAAACATACCACAATAAAGTGTGTTTAATAGTTCATCCTTCATCGTTGTATTTCAGATCAGCTTATCCCCTAGGGCTGCCGGAAGAGTTTGCATTTGTGGCCCTGTTGCGCATGAGTGGCACCGCTATCAACAAAAACTGGAATATCTGGCAAATGCAGTTTGAAAATGAAAAGGAGCAGCTGACCGTCGGACTCAACGGGGAGTCTCAGTCCCTGGAGTTCACCTTCACAGCATTGGGCGCCGTGACGCACACTGTTGCTTTCGGCCCTCTGACTTTTCTTTTCGACGACAAGTGGCACCAAGTCCTGCTCTGAATCAGCAGGCGCGCTGTATACCTTTTCGTGGACTGTGTCATGGTCGGCTCCCGGAATATACCACCGCGACAAAAAGTCAGCTTGGAAGGCTTCACGTTGATCGGAAAACTAAAAAGACAATCCAGCGGTGGCAATTGCGGTACGTCCGCCAGAGCACCGCTGCACTGCTTATGCAACTGAAACCATTTTAATAGTAGTTTGTCTGCTGTGTCTCTTTACTAGACTAAAGTCATACACTATGCAGCACATTTGGACAGTTTCCAAAAATGCATGTGCATTTAATGTTTGGCCACATTTTAACTCTCAAATAAACACTTTCATTTCGTTAATGTTTCAATAATGAGTCTCAGATGGCAAACACATCATGCTTTATATTTTTCATGATGGAGAAAATTTGGGGTTTGGCCTTAATGTGTAGTAAAAACATGTCCATTTTCCTTTGGGACGCAGCTTGTGTAGAGCCACTCGTTCCATGTTTAAGTACATTGGACATCTCGTCATGATCCTATCGTACTTAGTGTCGGCTGGTGGAAAATGTTCTAGGAAGGCGAAACTTCCCATGTTGATTTAATGTAACACTTAAGGTATTTAAAACACATTACTACTTTGCAGTTAAATATCTAATATTTATTCCACCATGAAAAAAAACAGTAAATAACTTTGACAATCTCATTTGAATAACACTCTGAACAACAATAGAATCCTAGGTTTGAGGTGGCGGAGCCTTAAACGGCGTGTTGGTTTGGCGTGCTGAGCGTAATTGCCGTCAATTGAGAAGGGGAATACATTCAAGGAACTGGCTGCCCAAATTGTGCGTGCGTCAAAGCAAAACTATTTTTTGTGCCCTTAAAATTGTTCTCCACTTTCCTCCATGTAGCTTCCCTCACGTCAGATTTTTGATGATTACAGACAAAAATGAAATGTGTCAGATCCTGTAATAAAATCCTGAGCAGAGGTCAAATTACCCGCTGACCCTGCCTATTGGTGGCGTTTGCATTGGAGCTCCTCCCCTCTGCAAACCATCCAATCGCTTCCTGCAACCAAACACCGTATGAATATACATGGGCCCCCTCACGGCTGTGGGACCTGGGACGGTCTAGATAGCTCCAGCCGATTCAGTTGGCTTGTTTTGTCGGGGGGCTCCTTCAGCCCAACAAATCCCAGAGAAAGGACTACAACATTTTGCCTTCCTGCCCACGGCGAGATCATGGCTCGGGCCCTCAGTGTTAGAGGGCCGCTTTTGGCTCTGCTTCTGCAGCTTGTCCTTATCTGCTCCGCTCAAGTAAGACTTATTATGTTTCTCTCTCTCTCTGGTGTCGCTATGTGTCTCTGCAGACTGATGTGACAGAGGTGCAGGTGTTTTTCTGGTGTCAAATAGCATCATATATGTGACCTAATTGTGGCGAGATGCTGAAGTTGTTTCATCCAGTAAATTGATTAACTGGCCATTTGCCAGGAACAAGAGGCAGGGCAGAGAGACTATTGTCGAGTGTCCTTTTTAAAAAAATGTTTCCTTTTGCAGCGCTGGAGAATGCAGTAAAGTATTCTGCTATCAGATATCACCTATTTAGGCTGTGAGCTATTTTATTGAATCCCAGAGTCTCTACGTGCAACAAGGCAATACACCTGTTCCAACTAAAAGACATTTGTTGTTGTTGTTGTTTGGAATGTCAGCTAATATTTTCTAAAATGAATATCATTGTTCCTCTTTTGTTACTCAGAGGGGCCCTCTTGGAGCTGCCGGTCCTCCTGGACCTGCCGGTGTCCCAGGAATTGATGGCATTGCTGTAAGTGCTCTCAGTTCTGTAACATTATCCATATCATGTGCCAAATACTAATAAATAGTTCACTATCTGCTCACCTTAAAGCATTTACTGTCCTTTATTTCAGGGGGAAAGGGGAGACGATGGCGAGGAGGGACTTCCTGTAATTATGACATTTAATACAAAAATTGAAACTGCATTGCTTTTCATTGGAAAGGCTTTTTTCTGAAATATGTGTTTTTTCAGGGACCTGACGGAGATGCAGGTAAACCCGGCTCTTCAGGATTACCTGGAATTCCTGGAAATGATGTGAGTTTCATATTTTATACATACATGCATATTTCATACAGTACATCTGCCTTTTAGGCCACGGACAGCATGCAATCTGCATGTCTGCAAAGGGGTGGAACTAAAAATTGTGATCCTCCCACCATCATCGATTATGTCTACTCTTTTTTGAAGAGTGACCAATGGGATTTCAGATTTAGCATGGGACGTAGAGGGAAAGTGTGCAAAAAATGTGAGGAATAAATGACACAGGATGATCCAATGCAAATTTCCTTCATAAGAAGGTAAACCAGGAACCGTATGTAATTAACTTTGCTCCCTCGAGCTGAAAGGAGGGTCTGGGAAAACATCCAAACACAATATTGGTGTTGATGATAACACGAGGGGCTGTAGGTGACTTTTAGTTCACCAGTTGACAATGTATGAGTCTCAGAATGCCATTTAATGTAATGAATTTGTTTTATGCATATTGAGGCATTGTGGCTGTGTAATACCTCGATACATCCAACAGAATTGAGAGAACAATCGCAGCTTTGTTGGCCTGCTGCTCTTGGTATCTGCCGTTGAGAATCCTCAAAACGGTGTGGAATGATTCCTCTCAGTAAGCTTGTTTGAAATGAGCCAAAGGAATGTTGCTCTCTGCTTGGTTTGCAGTCTGAAAGTTTTGCCCTCTGCCCTGGCGCTGACTTTTTGTGTGTGTCTGTGAATTTGAACGTCACGACGTGCTCAAAAACAGACCTGACGAGTTCAATGGGACTGACAGACGTAGAGCTGCATTGCAGTATATATTAAAGCATTCAAGATGAGGGGGGGTCATAGATAATCCTGTTTGTTATTAGGACTCCTCCCACTGCTGTGTGATTATTATATGAGGATGTAAGACACCAACATCTGATGCTGGGGTTTAGAATACTGATAGATGGGGAAATAAACACAGCTTCTTGCATCATTTTAAAACATACAGTAGCTAGTTCTTTCATTTTCTAATGTTGCATTAGTTAAGCATGATCTCTCTCCTCTGCAGGGTTTGACCGGCCCTTTTGGAGATCCTGGGCCCGATGGTCCCCCCGGACAGAAAGTGAGTGACTAATGAGCCTTCGCTTTGCTGCTTCAGAGGCTGCCAGTGAAACGCTGCCAAGCTGCTGTCCAGTCTTTTTGGCATAGCCGCAGGAGCCGCAGTGGATAAACCAATTCCTCATGACAAATGAGACTTAATCCTGCAAGTCTTCTATGTAATCTCCGTGGGGAGCGAAGCCCCAACATCGGTCCTCATTAGGCTAAACATTGCTGGGTCAATGGTGCCTGAAGAAGTCATGTGACGAGCTGGAGGAATGTTAACTGCAGGCTCGCATGGCTACATGTGACCTGACCACAGTGCTTCAAGAGGTATTTCCACTTCTTTGTGTCTAATGTATTTATCTTTGTTCTTCAGGGTGAACCTGGAAATGTCGGACCTCGTGGAGCCACTGTGAGTACCTTTTCCTCTCAGTCCAAGGATCGGATCTACCAGGACCATCGGAACATTAAATGATCCAAATGATATATATCACACAGGATATGTAATTCTTTATATCTCTCTTTAGGGCGTTGGGCCTGATGGACCCCCCGTAAGTAATTTATGCTACACAACAAACACTACAGTTTATTCTAAATTTAGTAATTACGCAAAATTGTGTTATGACTGAACCTGACATGTGGTTTTGCACAGGGACCACCTGGGCCTGGAGGACTTCTGGGTGAATTGGGAAAAGCTGGACCACTTGTGAGTAGAGACAGATACACATCATATTCTCCCAACATGAGCGCTGAGGTGGTGGAATGCCACCAGTAGTCAGTAACAGAGCAGACTGTTTACCTTCATGTGTCGGCCATGAGACTGAACGTAGGTGAAGCCGCTGTCCCCAGAAACCTTTCTACAAACACAATGTATCTGCACGGCACTTCCTACTGTTGCAATAAATTGAGATGAAAACACAGGTCTATAACAAATAATATGCATGTATACAAATACATTTTTTATATTAAATCTAATAGTTCAGTATTTTACTCGAAGAAGTGTTTATTTGTACTAATTTGCAGTCTTTGTATTTATTTGTAAAAAACAATATTTTAATTGTTATTGTTTATTTCCTAAATTCACTTTAGCTCAGGTTAAACTTCAAATCAGTGATTTTTTATATGATGTTGGGGTTTTCTCACAATGTCTTGTGTCACTTCAATTTGCGTCACCTTCTATTATACATAATGAAATAAAATTCTCCTACAAAACAATGTTTCATTTTTAGAGAACAAAACAATCGTCTAATGGTAAATCAGCGTGCATCCAGAGGTTTTGACTCTGCCTTCAGGTGTTGTAGTATAATGTGACTTTGTGAGCTAGATGTTATCTTTTGTAAAGCCTGACTAGAGGAGAGTATGGGACACAGTGAAGCAAAGAAAAGCTACTGTATTTCTATGCCAGGACTCCTAAAGACAGAGTGAAGGGAGTGCTGTGCCTCTCTGTGTAGCTTGTGACACGTTGTACGTCTTTCTACAGGGGTCCATAGGTGTGAGAGGGCCACAGGGCCCCCGTGGACCAGCGGGGCCCAGAGTAAGTGACATAGATTTGCAAATGATTCTTTGATTTTATCATATTTCACACCGGACAAAGCATGTCGTGGACAAACCATTGATTTGACTTTTATCTGATGATTTAAAAGCTGGGAGTCATCATCATGTCAATAAGTCACATTATAAAAGTGTTAACCTTTCTCTATTTCAGGGTGCATCTGGAATGCAAGTCAGTGCTGACCTGGTAAATCTTTGACTTTACTATGATAATGAATATCTGTCTGTTTGTTTTCTATATGTTTTCTGACTTTTGTGTTGTTGTTTAGTGTCCCAACTCTTGTCCACCTGGGACCTCGGGGCACCCTGGACTTCCTGGCATGAAGGTGAGAAGTGCAGATTAAGTTTAAATCTGCGCTAAAATCCTGTTAGTGCCCAAATATATAATGTTTTTAATGTGCTGTTTTTATTCTCTGTGTGTGTTAAGGGTCACAAAGGTGTAAAAGGCGAAGCAGGAGAACCTGGGAAACAAGGGCACAAGGTAAAATAGGTTCCTTTGAACTTTTGTCCCTAACCTAGCATTTCTAATCAAATGAATTGTCAATGAATCAAATGAACATCGACAGTTTAAAAGTATCCTCACATCAAACCTCCATAAAAGGTTACTTAAAAATAAGAATTTCCCCCCACAACTGTCACACATGACGCAACGCTCCTCATCTGAGACCAAATGATGCATGGCTGTAATGTGAAAAGGGGACTCTTTGCACCTTCGAGACAAGTACTGTCTGCTCTCTTTCAAGAGGAAGTGATGCATGCCTGCGTGTAGCGCCTCCGACTCCCGGCAACGCATAGAGGATGATTTATTTGAAATGATGTTCAAGCACAACTAGCTTCTCCCTGCATGTGTCTATGCACTATATAAATGGAAATGAGTCCGGGCCGATCTTACTTTATCACCTCATGCCAGGATATGATTTAGTGTCGGGCTGCGCCGCATCCAAGAGAGTTTCTCCTCCGCTTAAAGTTTCATGTGAGGGGCCTTCAGCCACCTGAAAGATGTTTACATCTCACAACAGAATAAACAGATAATGTGTCGTGAATGTCCCTGAAAATGGAAAATGTCATTAAAATATAAGTAAGATAGCACCATGGCCAAATTTGATTGGGTGACCGTGCAATCTTTCAAAACACGGACATTTAAAAAAATTCTATATTAGATATACAACAGTATCATATAATCGATGACAAGAGGGCAAGATTCTTTATATTTTTATATAGTTTTACCAGTTTTAGTTATTAACAGAAAGATTTTCATCTTTCAGTCTTTGGATAATTCTTTTAAGAAATCAGAGAATCAAGTGGGATCATCATTCCATTATGTTATATTTACTATATCTTAATACTCATTTATAATGCACATAATTAAATAAAGTGCACTTTCTTTAAAATGTCTGCCTGCCTAATGGATACACCTCCTCAGGTCGACCACTCAGTCAACATATCAATCATTTGTAATTAGCAAAGCAGGAGAACAATAATCTGAAAATGTGTATTAACACACAGTTGATAAGAGAAGCCTCAGTTCAAGAAATGTCCCTTTTTATAATAAAGTTCAATTTTCTGTCCAGTGTTTCTTCTAATTTACTTCATGCTGCTTTTCTGCTAATGTCATTTCCCTTTTGTTCACTCAGGGTGAGGATGGAGACCAAGGCGGTCAAGGGGAAGTCGGATCTCAAGGACCGATGGTTAGAAACCACAATTAGTATATGATTTTAGAGTCTGTTCTTTTCTGTGTCAGGTTCTCTTTCTCCTGCTCACTGAGGCGCCTCTTTTCTTCGTTATGTCAGGGCCCTCAGGGGATTCGCGGAGCCATGGGAATGATTGGCCACAAGGGAGAAATGGTAAATGTTCCTATGATGTCTCAACCCATGTCAGCTTCCTCAAAAACATCTTGTAAATTTAGGGTGAATTCCATATAAAATGTCATTTAAACTGATTATAGAACCCCGACTAACATGGTTCTCTAACAGGGAGCTCGAGGTCTTGATGGAGATCCAGGTCCCCAGGGTGTTGCAGGGGCAACTGTAAGTTTCACTACATATGCTCAGATGTTGGCAGCAAATTGAGTCCTAATGACCAGCGTACGATTCAATGCCTTATTTCAGGGGGATCACGGTCAAAGAGGCGGGATGGGTGAGCCTGGACCTAAAGGCGAAACGGTAAGCTGACACACTAATAACACAGAAGTGAACAAATAAACATTGAATCCAAGGATGTTTTAACAAAACTGACCAAATGTTCCGTTGCTTTGTTTTTCAGGGTATTCAAGGGCTGAGAGGAATCTCGGGTGTTCCGGGTCCCAAGGGAGGCGCTGTGAGTGTCTCATCACCGACGACCAATAAAGCTTAAATGTTCGGACATATTTTCTGCAGGCGGCTCATTTTAGCTTTGGCTTTATTTGACAAGGGCTTGCCGGGTGTGGACGGCCGCGAGGGTATTCCCGGGATGCCCGGAGGAAAGGTAGAGAAGCATTTCTCCATTTGTACAACTGGTGTGGCTCATTATATCAAAACGTGTTCCCAGGAAGCCTTTTGCTGTTTTCGGAGCTTCACTCTTTCTACGGTCTGTTTCCCTGTAGGGAGGCATTGGGAAGTCAGGCGTCCCCGGAGAGGTCGGACTTCAGGGGCTTCCTGTGAGTATGACCTTTGACCCCAAACTGACTGAATGTGATTGGATGCACCTGAGTGCACTCCTCAGGAACAGTTTAAAGCACCATAGCCCATGCATGCTGCAGAACAGACTAGCAGAGTATGTCATACTCTCATTCACAATTACAAGTTTGATTCACATACAACAGGCCATGCTGCGAGACATCTCTATCTTCCTCTGGCAGAAAGATGAACGGAAACTTTTTCCAGCGCACTAATCTGTTATTAGTGTAATGAAAGGAGCTGATGAGAAAAGGTTGGCAAACACGAGCCTGTGACGGCACTAAGACAGATTTTTGCAGCCGTAGAAGTCATCACCTGATTAAAATTAGCTTGTTTGGGTCAAAAGCTTAAAACAAAAGGGCTTTTTTTTAATCTCATAAAGCTTCCTTAACTTCCTGTGTGTCTTACAGCGAGCTGTATATTCATTTACAAACGAAACTTTCTGCTAGAAACTGTTGTTCTTTGAATACTTATATCTCACTAAAACATGCTCTCTCTCTTTTTCCAGGGTTTGCCTGGTGTACCAGGACCAAATGGCTTGAGTGGTCCTAAGGTTGTTTGTTTGATCAATTATACAATTCTCTTCTTTGCATGTTGCTTTTATTTAGTTTTTCTAAATGCTCCAACGAGCTTCTGTTTTGTTCCTGCACAGGGAGACGTTGGTCAAGGAGGCTTCCCCGGGACAATGGGACCCGCTGGCAAAGAAGTAAGTACAAGAAGTAAGTACAAACCCGCACTTGATTTTTGTCACCTCCGTTGTGTCACCGCGTTGTTTGACTGTGACACCTCAGGGCGAGCGCGGTGAGCCAGGAGAGCTCGGGCCTGTTGGACCGATAGGAGAACCTGTAAGTATTTGTCCTGCTTGAAATTCTGCTGTGCTCACTTTGTTCAAATGTTCATTTTTTGAAATGTGCTTTTGTTCTGTTGTTCCCAGGGAGCTGTGGGAGGACAAGGCCCTATAGGTTCAGCTGGAAAGCCAGGTGCAAGGGTAAGTAAAGAGCACAAGGATCGAAGCGCACAGTTAGATTCAAACTCATTGATTTTGATTTAAACTCAAATCTGTTTTTTCGATCCATGCCTTCATTTCAGAAGTAACGGCTTAACAGATAGATTTCATGCAAGTTTGTGGCTTTGAATGCAGGGAGCTGAAAAAGGAGGGACACCTCTGTTGTGTCACTGGAATGTCTCAGAGAATAGACTGAGGCTGCATCTCACATGAGGTCTATTTTCACAGTAACGCTAGAGACTGGTAAGCGGCGGGCTGAATGAGCGCTCTGTTCTCCTGGCATTCCTCAGATAGTCGCTCAGTGATCAAAGAGGAGGCGTCGTTCACAAACACGCCCACAATAATAGTCATCTTCCCATAACTATTCCACATTAATATTAATAACGGCTTGATAATAAAAGAGCAAAGTTCCTGCTTGAGTACATAAAGCGGCTTGGATGTCGTACTCATCAGATGTGAATTTTTTACAGGGACCCAAAGGTGACCCCGGCCTTCCCGGCCTCCCTGGTCCTGCTGGCCTGCCCGGGGTGAAAGGAGAGAGGGTAAGAAAACACCATCCAGAGACCTTTTCTAATTCAGTTTTTAAACAGTAACTGAGAGATTAATGCCCAAAGGTATGCAGCTGATCAGCTCCCTCTAGTGAAACCTCACAACACGAACCACCATTTAGCGAGTTAACTCATTTGTCTGGATTATTACAGGGAGAACGTGGAGATGGAGGACCCAAAGGAGAACAGGTAAGAAAGCCTCATGCTAAATTTGAATGTGCTCTCAACGGGAGTGCTGCATTGAAATACAAATTGGGTTGCTTTGCATACATCATCTACAGGTTATGTTGTTATAGGGAGGCCAAGGGGACGAGGGAGACCCCGGAGAGAAAGGGGATCATGTAAGTTGTTACACCGACACCATTCATCTAATTTATTTTCATTGTTGATCACAGAGGAGAATCTCACCAGTGCAACTGTTTCCTTTCCTTTATCTGTGCTCCATAAATGGTGTTGTAGGGTGAGGCAGGAGAATCTGGATCTAAAGGAGAGGTGAGCTCAAACAGAACCTTCTAACCTGGCGTCTCGGGGTTTTAATTACGGTTAATTTCTGCAGCTTTGAAAACTTCTCTGTGGTGATTATTTCCGCTCAGGTCGGTAACCCCGGCGAAGTGGGCAAGAGAGGTCCCGAGGGCACTCGAGGTCAGCCGGGAATTGAGGGGCCGCCTGGCTCACCTGGACCGAGGGGCATGCAGGGGAACAGGGGTCAACCCGGAGTCAGAGGCTCCCAGGGCCCTGCGGTAGGTTCCACGAGGAACACTTCATGGAAAGAGACTTACAATAGATGTAAAGTAGTATGTATCACATTGTTCAGTTTTATTCATTTTGACCAGCACTTCCCAGTATGGTGTTAATGCTTTGTCTGCCTTCTGCATATGCTTCAGGTCAGGGGGCGTATTCAATTTGTGCTATGAAATAACAAAAGGTATTCATGTCAGAAGATGGTATACAAAGGACTAAATACAAAACTTTTATGTGCATATATTTAAATATATTGCTAGGAATGACATAAAACAATGATAGTGACGTTTTCAACCTCCTCTGTCACTCATACAAATTAATTGTATTTCGAATTTTGAATTCGACCTCCATGTGTCCAGGACGCAGTTTGTCTCTTAGGATGGAGACGATTGGTTTTCCTTGATCTGATACTGTAACCAAAACCTCATTCCTCATACATAGCAGCCAATGAGAGTAGGGCGGGTCATGGCTTCACCATCTTTGGGGAAAAAAACTGGCGTACTGTATATGGATGTCAATTCATATTTACTTACAAATTTTCCTTATAACCTACTCATCTTCTAAAATCGTCTTAGAAGTGAGGGTCTACTCTTAAAAGGATAGAGGGGCACTAGTTTTTTAAAGGATTTTCTCCTGAAAGACTACCGAACGTTCTTTTGAGGTAATAAATTCTTATATGTTTCTTAAAATTTCAACTTGTGCTAATACATAAAACACTGAACCCCAATATTGTGCAGCTGCAGGTGACACATCAAAATACATGAAGGTGCTCTGAAAATCTTAAAAAAAAAAAAAATCTTTATGGGTAATCTTTTAAATGTAGTGAAAGCAAGAAGATAAAACAGAGGGACAGACGAACAGACAAAGGGTGCTGTTTTCGTTTGGTAATGATCTTTAGGGGTGTGACACAGTAAATGTTTTAAACACTAGGAAATGTATTAAGACGTTTTTTTCTTTTCCTCCAGGGGAAAGAGCCCAGCGATCAGCACATCAAACAGGTTTGCATGCGAGTCATGCAAGGTAAGAACAGAAGCCATTGACCCCATTTATCATTCCCTTGTGCCTCATTTCATTTCATGACTTTAGTCTTTCCCCGGATGCCTCATTACACAACCACACACACGTATAGCCGCCCCCCCCCCTCCGTTGTCTCATTGATCTGGGTGGCAGCTGAATACTTCTGTAATAACCAGAAACATGAAATAAACATGAAATAAACTTCAGTCTCAGTTAATGTGATGGATGAAAGTTTCCGCTCCTCACAAATGTTCTCTGAAGTCCCACCCTCGGTTCCCCTCGTTCTGCTGCTCTTACTGTACGTCTTCACAACTCCTACACTCATGATTTTTTTATACCTCGTGTGCTGAAAAATTAATTTCACCTTCAGCAGACCAGCTCTCCTCCACTCCATGCCAAGAGCGTGCACGGGAAGAATATCTTTAAAAAACGAGCAGTCAAGCAGCTCCTGCATGAATTCTCATCAGGAGACAGAAAGCCAAAGTCTCAAGAGCAGATTTCCACGCTGCGACGAGCCACAGGAGATTAATATAGGATCCAATGCACCATGAATGTACATTTCCTTTTGCTGATTGCCTGAAATAAAGAGTATTATCTATTTTCTGCTCAATTTACCGAGGTTTTATGGAAAGATGTTGAAAAACAGGAGAAGCTCGAGGGAAACCGTGACTACGGTTTCACCTCGCTCCGCTTCCCACTGACTCAACTACAAGAGCTTTTGGACTATCTTCTTTGAGAGTTGCTTTGGGGGTTTCAGAGATGAGCTGACTTTTTTATTACAAAGTCTTATGTTTTAAAAAGTCCCTAAATATGTCTTTGCTACAACTGTTTGGAAACAGTGTCTTGCAGCTAGTTACTGTATGTAAATGTTGCATTACATTTAATTGAGATGTATTAAAAGTTAATCTGGTTCATGGTCTTCTTTCTGCTCCAACAGAACAGCTGGCCCAGTTAGCCGCTAGTTTAAGGAGGCCAGAGACTGGCGTAGCCGGTTTACCCGGAAAGCCTGGACCTCCAGGGCAACCTGGTCCTCCCGGAGACAATGGTTTCCCTGGGCAGAGTGGATCGAGAGGCCTTCCAGGACTCAAAGGGCCGACAGGACAGATTGGAATGAAAGGACCCAAAGGTAATGGATGTATTGCATCGAATCACAACCATGACATGTTTGTACACAAATGTCTTCATTACGTAATACGTGTCACAGGCGAGATGGGAGACAGAGGCTCCAGAGGGCCCACTGTACGAGGACCTAAAGGTCAGCAAGGACCTCCTGGACTTCCTGGTGAGTACATTTTGCCTTTTGGACAGGTCCTTCTATCTTAAAGTGTCTAAGTCTGTCTTTTATAGTGACCAAAAACACTTTCAATTTATTTTAGGGCATGTGAATTAGAATTAAAATAGATATAAAAAATGAGAAACTGTCCTTTAGATCTCGCAACTAGCAACCTAAAATGCATGCTGTGATCACAGGTGAGGCGGGCAAACCTGGCTACGGTCAAGACGGTCGGGACGGACAGAGGGGACCTCCCGGCGTCCCTGGACAGCACGGGGTACCCGGGCCCCCCGGCGGGGCAGGTCCCAATGGTTACTGCGACCCGTCAGCCTGCAACCTGCAGGCGGGGGCCGCCCACCAGTCTCTGGACGTGAAGGGACCTGCAGGGAACTAAGAGCCACTCTGGGCCTGGATACAAAGACTGTTGGATCAGCTCCTCTGAGCACGCAACATTTTTCACGGTTTTTGTCCCAGGGCCCGCCGGGGGGGTTTGTGTGGTGAGTTCCGCCCATTAACCTCTGGTCTTGGGAACATGTTTCGTGCCAACCACATCACTGACAACAAAAGAAAAAACATTATTTTTGATGTGCTGCAACGATCTAGCTTGTTCTTGTGTTTTTTCTTTCTTACCCGAGGGATCTTTTGATATTTTCAGGAAGGTGTGCTCACATTTCTGAGACGAAATGACATGTGCAGAGATGTTTGTTTATCCCTCTCTCCTTGTACCCGGCCTGCCTTTTTCTTTTTATGCTCGACACTTACGGGTTTCTTCAATAAAAGCTCCTCCACTTTCTCTCAGAACATTTCCAATAATCACCCAAAGCAAATCAGGATTAAGAATTAGTTTGGTTAAAGTGCCTTTTTCTAATTAGTTCTGCTAATGTGCCAATATACCAAAGATAAACCTGCTGAACGCCCATTTTAAAATATGTTGTTTAAGCATTGCTCAGTAGAGAAGATGAAACCTCAATGTTTTGAGAATGTTGTAAATCTGTAAAAAAAAATGTTTGAAATTGTGATCAATTATATTTCCCACGAAACAACCGGATGTGAGATTTTGCCTCATTGTACATAATGACAACAGAGTGCAGACGTGCATATATTGAAATATATTTTTGGGATGAGGGGTAACCTCATTAATGTAACAAATAAAGAAAACAACACATGAAGTGATAAATGCATTCTGTTGTAATTTTGTAATGATAAATTCTGTGACAAATACAAGGAAAAGCTTGTATAAAAACAAAAATATCACAGTTGACAAAACAAGCTCAACTTCAAGATCCATTTACTAGCTTCTTTGGAGCTTTCCATGACATCACACCATCTTAATCAGCCAGATGGAGTTAGCCAGCTCATAAAGGTCCGTCATTTCTGTGCACCAGTCGGTTGTGTCCAGTCTAATTTACTCTTTTTCCATCTACATTTCCATGACAACTGGGCAAACTCCGTCATCTGATGGAGGGAATCTGAGCTTTAAATTTACCTTAAAGCAAGATTGTTTTTGTGAAAAAACGGAATCCACTTCGACACTCCGAAAACATATTTTTATCTAAATCAACATGTGTGTTTTACCTCTTGTGCAAACAGGACACTTGTCTGTGTCAGTGCCCAAAAAGAACACAGGAAATAAAGTACTGAATAACATTTATTGCACACATGTAAGCCAAGTGCCATCAATCAGTGAAAATAAAAGATGCCGCAAAGAAAGGTGTAAAATATAACCTCGGTGACCTGGTAACCCAACACACTGGATCACTGCGCAAGACAGGAACATTACTGCCCCTAAAATGTTTATCGAGAGTCCAGTAAGTCAAATTGCAGTTTATCGATGTCGACATCCGGGGCTGTCGCTTTCTACATACATAAGTAATGATTCAGTTACTTTGTTCAGTGAAAGGCAACAGTTTGTGTTGAATTATTTCATTTCCTCTGTGGTGGCGGATCCTGCAGACATGTGGTGAACCAAGACTGAGGTAGATATTAAACAGAACAAAGCCTTTTAAAAACACACATTGCAGCCCCACAACAGGACATGCGCTTATAAACGAGCAGAGAGGAGTAAGAGTGAAGGCAGCGGGCGGACATTTATAATCTGAGGGGCCAGGCAGAAAGGCTGATCAATACTCCACATTACAAGCTTATTACAAGATTACATTTTTTGTTGCCACAGGATCAATGTGGAAAAAAAAGCAATAATAACATGTGCAGAAGTATCAAACGCATTGTTTTAAAGGATGTTTGCCGTATTTGATAAGCCTATCTTTGATTGAAGGACGCTTCGACATCAGTCTTATGAGCATTTTATCTGATATTTCACACTTAGAAGAAATAGATTTGAACTCGGAGGGCTGGGACAACGTCCGGCACCAAATTGCCAATGAAGTGGGCTCTGACATAAGCAGCAATTCTGTGTCCTCCCTCATTATCATACAGTTTAGCTAAATTGAAGTCACAAACCGATGCACATTAATATCAATTGAAGCAAAATTCATTATGCGCAGAGTTGCTCTCATCAGTACACCAAAAAGTTAAGATCACATTAGTCCACCGATGCTGCCTCATTTGAATTTGGCCAAGGTCAGTGTTATGGTCTCCAAGGGGAAATCATAAAATGGCACGATGGAAACGGCAGACGCCAATAGCAGGAGAGGACTTTATAAAGGCCACAACCCAAAGAAAGAATGTTTTCACATTCACAATACAAGCAAAGAGAAAATAAGTGTGGCAAGTCCAGCAGGGGGCTCTTCAGACTCACAAATGAAGGCAGCGACGGACATTTGATTCAATGCCAATCTGAATTTAGACCCACTCATAAGAATACAACGTAGCAGAGATAAAACTAAGCCTGCATGCTGAGTGAAAAAATGTTGCTATATTAGATATAAAAGAAACTTGAACAGATCTTAATTGATGGTGTGGGGAAATAACCCAGTTTTGCAGATAGTGATTTGTAGTGGTTAGCGGAATAGTTTACATTAAAATGGCTTTAAAATAAATAAATCCAAATTGTGAGGCAATACATAGCGACACACAGTAACGGACAGTAAGTGCAAAACACAGAATGTAGGCCATGAAACATTTGAAAACAATTAGAAAGTTCAAGTTCAAAATAATTAGCACATACAAAAAAAGTGTAGTAGTCCGATTTCCTTCTGTGACTTTAAATCAAAAATATACAAATAAATCAGAGGAATCATCATACACAACACTATGTAAACAGTAAAGGTTAGCAAGCACCATCTCACACAAACACAGATAACAGAAGTAATTACATTAAAAACTTCTGCAATTGTATTGTCAGGTCCCATTACAGGCCCCATTGGACAGCAAGAAAAAAACATCACTCGTTAAACATTTAAGATAAACCAACAGTAAAAGTGAATGTGAGGTCACGTCACACTCATTAAATAAACAACATTTAAAGTACATTTTTCAAATCTGCCCTCGATGCAAACTAAGTGGATTCAGTTCAGTTTTTATGAAATGTAGGTTTTAGTACGACAAAAGATATGGTACCAAGGCGTAACCAACATGTCTAACAACACGTCTGTCAGCTTACACTGGGGGTTCCCAGAAATGATTATCATGCACAATGTAAATGTGTCAATGAGAAGCATACTACTCTCAGTGATTACTTTTAGTAATATTGTGACTGAATATCCACGCTACATTCACTATAATTATTACATTTACATACATTCCTGGAGAACACCCTTCCAATAAATAATTTCTATTTCAGACACATGTAACGCATTTCTGTCTTAAAAAAAAACCCTAAAACAAGTATATTTATTCAGCTGATCTATTCCCCTCTCTCTCTCTCTCTCTCTCTCTCTCTCTCACACACACACACACACACACACACACACACACACACACACACACACACACGCACACGCATGTGAGATGTACCTTCTGCCAGCACTCTCTTAACAGGACTGAACGTGATGAAAAAAAGTCATTTCATGGTCTTGAAAACCTTAATGAGAGTTGACAAGGAATGAATTACATAACAGTAGGGGATATGAATACAAAAAAATAACTCTAAAGTAAAAAGAAAAGGAAAAACTCAAAAGCTTTTCTTTCCATTGAAAACAAAACCCATCAAAGAATAATCGGCACGTCATCCATATTTTGTAGTAAAGGGATCAAAAGCGGTGCGATAAAGCAGAGAGGAGGAAGCTGTTGCACACAGCGAGGCCGACCTTCTCCTGCTCTGTAGCTGCAACACCGAGCTGGACGTCAGCACCTGAAAAAAAACACTCCGCCGGGTTCAAAGTGGTGGAAGGAGACAGTCACTGCGGTCGCATGTCCCTGGAGGTCCACGGGGCCCCGGGGAGCCAGGAGGGCCCCGAGTAGTGACCCCAGGCGGGCCTGGACAGAGAATAATTCATCATTAATTCCTGCGCTGGGCAGCAATTCACATTTCAGTGGAGTGACACATGGCATGAAAGTGCTTGTTATAAATGCCTGGTTTTAATCCAAAAGGCTCCAGTGTGCATTACATCCACCGCAGAGGAGCGGGGCCGATAAATCAGGTTGATGCATCACCAACGTCAGCTCATTACAGAGATGCTGTGATTGGTGTGTGTTGGTGGATAAGTGGGAAGAAATGGCATTACAGAAACACCAAACCAGGTCTGAGGTTATTAAATAAAAGTATCACCATTACGCAGTGACAAGTTGAGTTTTATATCAGTCAGGCTGTTACTTCCATTGAAAATAAATCAGAATTTCAGAATGCAACTGTATTCTCCAAGGGGCTGTGCCAAAACGCAATGGCATTGTATACTTTAGAGTTAAAACTATTTAGCCCATTAATCCTTAAAATAATGTGTTCATCAACAGAAAGTGTGCCATTGAAGAAAAGTTAGATGTTGGTTTGCACCAACATCCTCTTTTCTGATGTTTCTGGGTCTCATTTGGGTCATTTACAATTACTTTTCTGATTCTCATTTCGCACACCCGCAAACATACAGAGGGAGTCTTGAGTCTTCACCCAGCTGCATCTTTACATAGCAAATAGTTGTCTGCTGCCAGATTAATGCTCCATTAAGTGGGCAGCCAGCAGGCGTTATAAATAGTGTTATAGTGTTATAACAACCACGAGAGCTCCTCGAGCTGGCAGACAGAACCAGATACGCGGTTTTAAGAGATTAGCCGCAGACACTCTCTCACTGAACGATCGCTTGATCTGGAGACCATCAACCAATTATTTAATTTCATTGTGATCAGATTAAAGGGGCCGACCTCGGGTCACCGCGGCAGACGAGTCATTAGTATTTCACGTTACTTAGCAACAGTTTGCTGAAGCGGCAAAGCAAGTCCAGCTTGCTCCTCGTATACTTTCCATACAACACACGCAACACGTTGGCCTGGATGTCCAGCTGAGTGTCCGTTACATCAGTCAGACCAGTCCCAGCTCGGGGGGGAGGGCTCTCTGCCCTACAGTTATTATTAAAGGAATTGCAGGTACAGCCTTGTCCTTTTCCTCCCGCTGGAAACACAACATGCCCTTTTCGTTACTGCCAGATCCGTCTTCCGCTTAACATCTCGCACAAACTCCACACAGAACTGTGGGGGCGGCGGAGCAAAAGGTACAAAATCATCCTTTAAAAATGTTTCCCTCCTCGAAGGCGGCTCCTTACAGCTGAGGCGGCTAATTAATGTAGTCGCAGCACAGAGCTAACGCACCGTCCGGGTCAATCGGGGCGCGCAAAGAGTGGAGGGAGAGGCAATGGGGGTCTCTCTAACGCATTCACTGAGATCCTCCCAGTCAGGATGCCTGTGAGTCGTAATGAGAACCAACAACACTGAAATATGGTCTAAGGGGAACAAAGTCATTATAATGAACCAACGCACAGAACGTTTGCTTGGCAAGTATAATCTTCCGTTGACTGAAGAAAGGTGAGCCAACGCAAAGTTTGTTCAACTTTTAAATTCTTTCTACGACGTTTAATCCCGCCAGGTGGGACAAAGGTGCTTTCTATCACTGTGTGTCCCCGGGGAAAATGTCCTTTGACATTTGCCGGGATTCGTCCTTTGAAGAGGAGCTACAGCCAAGTTCCCTTTGTCCTACACTTGCATTATGCACTTACATAGTTGGATGAGTGACTTTAGGTTCAATGACATGCTCCTGTCGCGGGACGAAAGTCAAGAGGTAATCCCACTTCTCATCGCTCCACTGGGGTTCGGGGAGTTGTTATTTTTAGCTGACAGGACAAGTTGACTTTTGGCGAGGACCACACCGGGTGAAGCTTTTACTTCTAAGAATGGACATCATTGTAACTATTTCAATTTCTGTTGAGATATCATAAAATCTTCCACTGTCTTACATTTGCTAAACCTTTAGTTCAAGCGTCTATCTGATCGTGTAGATCAAGTACATCTATTGAAGAAGCCTCTTACCTTGTGGCCCCACGGATCCTGTGTCTCCTGGTAACCCCAGACCCATCTGACCTCGTTCTCCTTTCTGACCCCTGTACCCTGAGGACAGACACAAAACTCTGGCTGAGAAAAGTCAAATATTGTAGGAGATGAAGTAGGACCGCATGGTGTCACGTTTACGGAGCGTGTTGGCGCAATTAGTAAGATTAGTGCAAATGTCAAAACATGTTAAAATCAACCTGTCAAAGATAAGGATTCACTTTTCAGATCCGTCCAGGGACTCAAACAGCTTTATTAGTTTCTTGACGATGCTCAAGAAGTGAAAAAAAAGCCTTTCCTTCCATGTTCAAGTCAGGTCAACAAGTGCATCGCTTGTAACAATATGCTCACAAACACAGCAGTCAAATGCTTTCTCACTCCATGCAAAGCCTGTGAGTTTATAACGGTGTACAAGTAAAAATTTGAGGGGCTGTGATAATATTTCCCCATGAGGCACTTGAAGTAATGGAGTCTCAGGACCAGCAGTTGCATAAAGTGCATCGGCAACATTGACAGGAGTATCAAGCATCACAGCGCCCCGGCCCAAAGGGGGAAACGCTTCAACGCTTACATGTCAGGGAAAATCTAAGGAAAAAAGCCTTATGAATGCTCCAGAACAGGGTTTCAAAGAGAGGGAGGTTCTGGCCACACTGGCGCAGTATTGAGACTTCTTTTAACACTCACAGAGCCCCGGGCACAGAGGAGACGATCCATGGGGGAAAAAAGAGCCCTGTACCTTGAGCAAAAAAAATATACTGAATAGCACAAAAGGCAATAAGGTTGGGTGGTAGGCTGAAAATGTGCACTCTGATCGATCGAAAATGCGTCCCTCGGTCTGCACTAACTAATGGACAAAATACGTCAATACAAAATAATATTGCCAGAGAGGGGTTTTCCATGCTTGATTGATAGGATTGCAGTACTGCACCTGATGTACACTATTGTAAATATCATTAAGCTCAACTATTTAAATGTGCATGCTATGCCTTACAAAATAAAAAAATTAAAAAAACGTTCTTTGAGCTACTAGACCTTCAAAGATCTGTGGGATATTCACTGGTATGTTTGAGCGCAAAGCAAACCCTTTGTTTGTTGGTATTAATAAATATACATAATGTACTAAGATACAAAATAAAAAATAAAAAATGAATGTTTAAAGAACAAAATGCTGAATTAATTAAATGCACTTAAAAACACCACAACTAACAATGAGTTGTTTCATACACCCTCAGAAATAAAAGATGAATAGAATGATAAATGAGCACTCAATTACAACACAGAGGAGGGAAAAGAACAAACAAAAAATAAATGATGCTCTTCAGCATGCGTCCTTTGGGGATTCTCTAACAGCCATGTGAAATTAAACCACGAGGAAAAAAAAAACATTCAACAGAGGGGTTATTTTTCTCCATAAACAATTCATCTCGGCTTACGCGAGAACAAGTCAAGTTTGATATTCAGTAGGAGCACAGTCTCCAACAGACGATGACGAGAAATAATGAGGAAATATTACCCAAAACTCTCTCCCCAGCTGAGTGGAGACACAAGTCAACAAAGAAAAAATTAAGAAGTCGTTGAATTTTTGATTTATCAAGGGGAAAAACTTTCCTCTTTGTTTTCAACAAATATTTATTGAAAAGCTGCATTAAGAATCAACTACAAAACACTCTTTGGAAGCATACAAAAAAAAGAAAACATGTGTAATGCAAATAACATTAATGCAGCAAACACATTCATAGTTGAGTTGAGTTGCCTTCGTTATTTGTGAATGAAAGCAACATTTTATATTATAGCAGTGGGCTGAGAATGTAAACTTGAATAATGCGAGGTAGATCCAAAGAGAAAGGCCAATGCTGCGGTGCTCTGATCTGCACCAACACGGAACACACTCCTCCTCTCCAAGAGTTAAGACACCGTAGTTCTGCTGCGGACACCGTACAATCCTAAGTGTGAGGTATAAAGCCTGACCGGCAATCCATTACTGCTGTATGAGCATTCAGAAAGTTCTCTCGGTTTGATAAAGAACATCCACTCCCTTTCCTTATGGTGCTCCTTTTCTACTTTAAGAGGCTTTCTTCCCCCCCCCGCCCCCCCCGGAGTGAGGTTTCAATACTGGGGCTCCTTCCTGTCCACATTGATAATACTGTCTCTTATTCACAGTCAATTCTTCGTTTTGTCTTCATATTTCCAAGAGAGCCGCTGTGCACCACACTCCTGGCCTCTCCACTGCTGCCCGCCCCTCAGTCTGCATTGATATACGGGTCTAAGCGAGAGAAAAATACCCATGAATCCCTCCAAAATACATGTGTCAACCTGTACTGATTCACCCACCACAGTCCTGCTTTACATCCAGGAAAACATGTTCAACTAAAGGCTGTTTCATGATTCACTGCATAGTCGCCCTGCAGCTCTGTGTGTGCAGGTGTAAATGCTGCTTGCTACATATGTGTCCCACAGCACATCTCTGTGTGGTATTTGGACTAATTGGTGTATTTAACATCAGAGCGTTATTTGAATGCATAGTTTAATAGAAGTGGTTATTTTTCCCCAGCAGTTCACTGTTGCACCCTGAGCTCTTACCATGAGGACCCGGAGGTCCAGGCTCTCCGGGCGGTCCTGGTAATCCGTCTTTTCCAGGAGGTCCTGGAGGCCCATGGACTTGGGAAGCTAGGATCCCTGCAGGTGTCTTCTGCACCGCGGCAGTGCTCGATAGCTTCTCTACGAGGTTAGAAAAACAAAAAAAACAACAACATTCAGAATGACGAAACACACAAAAACAGAAAAATGTCATTTGGAAACTGTTTTTACCTTCGAAGACCCTCAGCACTTCGTTTCTGATGAACATTTTGAGTTCTTCCATGAAGCTGGTGTCACCCTGTGAGTGCAGTGTACAATGAGGATAAACATCTTTCATCCACAGTGAATTGGCAGCGGAGGCAGCTAGAAGACCCCCCCCCACTGCAATTTGAAACAATCTGTGTTGAAAGAAATAACGGAGAGCAGCGATTACTGTTCACCCTCCTACTGAGCATATTCTGTGCTTCCTGCACGCTTCTTACCTGCCTGATCAGTATCTCTTCTGTCATCACACATCCTGTTGCCCTGCAGTCATCTCGGTCCAGTTGCCTGAGCTTTGAGCCTCATTATCCTCATCATTATTTTACCGGCTCAGATTCACTAAACCTCTGCTGGTTTCTCTAGAGTTTTATGTGAACTTAAGAGTTCCAGAGCCGCAGTTTAGTTCCGACTGCCTGATTAATTACTGATTGAAGTTTTACGTTTGAGATTGCGGTTTGTTTTTTGGACTGATCAAAAGGATTTTGCTCGACTGGAATTTTTGCTTTTGGGCTCTTAAACGGACTCAGGTGTAAAATGTACCTTTTCATACCAACTCTGCATGCCCTTTGAATCTATAAAAACTATATTCTCTGACACTCAAAGAATTTCCGCCTTTAAGAGTTACCATAGCGAACAATTTCCCTTTCCCTGAGAGGTATGTAACTGTTGTGGCTGCATGCAGCACGTGTAAAATGTCTGTGACACACAGAGGTGTTTTCACTGCTTGGCACGCTCACATGTCTCTGTCATTCTCTCTGTCCCCCCACATTCCTCCCTCCGTGACCTTCTGTTGTGCTTAGTCGTGGAGTGGGAAGCGTTGAGCCGAAAGAGAACAACAACCTCTCTTGCACAGCCCTGTTTGATGTTTCCTGCAGAAGTCTGCAGCTGCACCGTTTTCCACACGGGCGACGAGAACTGAACCAGTTATGCAAGCTCAGGAAGGAAGTAGGCTGAGGATGATTTGAATCATCTGGCGGGGTTGGGGGGTGGGGGGTATCTTCAAAGATGCATCTCCAAATGTACAACTTACCAGGAGGTTTGCATTCTCCAATCGTCCTGGAGGGCCAGGATCTCCCTTTTGACCAGCCTCTCCCATCAGTCCGATGGGGCCGGGGTCTCCTGAGCGCCCCCTGTCGCCTTGGACCCCTCTCTCTCCAGGAATCCCTGGATCCCCCTGCAGTGGAGAAACCCAGACGTCTCTCGGGTTGAAATGATGGTGGTACTGGTCTATGTTGAGTTCTACACAAGGGCTGAATTTCCTGGCTGACATATTCAGCGCTAGAATCACTATTTTCCAGCCTCACTCCTACACAACTTTATCACATAACACGTTATGCACACTGGCATATTTGCATTATACATATATAAGTGTCCAACCAGTCTCCTGACCTGAGGTTCTTTAACTAACTATAATACTAAAAGCCTCGTTTTGCATTTTCTATCTGCAAAAGATTAATGTGTGAGTGTGACAGAGCTCTTTAATTTTGCCTTGCAAATACAAAAGGAAACTGCACTGAGCGTTAAATGCCATTATCTAGTGCTTACGTGCTTGTGGGGATTAGTCGTGTTTGTGCTAAAGTGAGGACTTTCATTACTATTCATCAAAACCTCTTTGGTGCATTGTAGTCGGAGCCATAAAAACTGCTTATTTTTAGGAAAACAGGAACGATGCTACTTACACGTTCTCCTTTGGACCCTCTGTCCCCTGTTTGACCGGCGGATCCCTTAGAAAAAAGCACAAGGTAATAACTAAATCATTAGGGGCACACATAATACATACGGAAGCTTTTCCGTAATTACGTGACTTTGAGAAATGTACACATTTCCAATAACTGTGCATGGATTTCTTCTTACTCAGGTGTATTGCTCATGTAATATCTCCCCGTACAGCGTTTCACCTTCTGCAATGTTACGGCTGCTCTGCATCACTCCTGTTTTTGCTTTTGAAACGCCTGCTTTCCCAACAGATGTCTCTACTGTATGGGGAGGCTGGGAGAGAAAGTACCTGTCTCCAGCCTCATGTCACAACATCTTGTGTCTCCCAATCCCTCCCTGTCACTCCTCATTGCCTCCCTTTACCGATCTTACAGCAATACCCCCCCCCCACCCCACCACCCACCCGGGGGAGCATCTTTGTCTCAATTTCCTGCTGGATTACAGAAGCAATGCAAAAGACAATCTGGCATGATGTGGTTTTAAAACGGGCATCTCTCCGAGATGCTGTTCTCCCCTGCCTGCTTTAATCTGCAGCACTCTGTATTCCCCAATGCCTGATGGGAGGCTTAAATCCATCATCTTGCCCACTGAAATGTGCTTCCCTGAGCATTATATGAAACCTCAAAGCAGCGTGCGAGGAGTCTGGGAAGAGGAGCAAAGCCACCTGCTAGATGGCACTGTTGCCCCACCAGAAACACAGGAACTATTGCAGAAATACATGGGGGGGGGGGGGGGGGGGGGACCTGTGTAGGGTCTTCATGCAATGCTGCTATTTTGGTGGAAGAGAAGTAACTAATAATAATAAGCAAACAATAAACAGCGGGGGTTGTCATTAGAGCGCAAAGAAACGGGTGAATTAGACAGCCTAGTCAAACCAGTTTGGTATTACACTGGATAATGAGTTATTAATGGCTGTTCATAGTGGCTCTGTTCTGCATGCCACGAACCCATCGTGTGTGATTCTGTGTAAATAGTGTATGATTTATTTGATCAGTCACCAAAAAAAGGGTTGCAGTATTTGTTTCAATTTAGCCATGTTCATCAGGCAGGAAAATACATATTTAATCTATATTTGTCTACCGCCCTCTGTTGCAAACACTTTATCATTGCCGGAAAGCATTCACTTTATAATTAGTGTAAGAAAACTAAAAGTCAACATCGCCTTAAATCTGCAGCATTTCGTTTAGTTTTTATCAATATAATCTCAAATATGCAAATGGGTTTAATGCACTCAGGATGCTGTAGCTGGAGGGAGGAGAGGAGGGTGGGGGGGGGGCAAAAATCTGCTGTGCCATCTTTCCACAACTTGGCTGATGTAAAAGCCCTTCCATAAGAGGATTTGCAACGTGTTTGCACAACTCACCTTGTATCCAGGAGTTCCATCTTTTCCAGGTCTCCCCTGCACAAGGAGTGCAACACAAACAAAGACATTTTATATCAGCTCCCACCTTCGATTGGATCAGCACTGTTGCACTCCTAGTAATCTCCACAGTTAATGAGATATCTCAACCAAGGGATAATGATCCTGATTGCTGTGCGAACACTGTTCCATTGTGCGCTTACGGGGAAAATTACACAAAACCATCTCTGATGGTAATTACATAGAGGGATGTAATCATCCACAGGACAAGGGATCGCTAACATAGCATATTTTTCCTATGTTGTCCTTGAATCAAGTTTTCTTTCTCTCATATAATGGTTCAACCCCCCCCCGCTGATGCAGAGGAACAGTGTGCTATTCAACGCGCTATTGTATTTCCAGCCCGGACATTACCGAAAGGTGCTTTGGCGACTGCTATTTGTGATTAAAAAAAACAAAAAAACAACATAATTCACGTAGCATCCTTACAGCAACACCTTGGGGTCCCTCGGGCCCTGGGAACCCTGTCTCTCCGAGCGGTCCCCTCTCACCCTGTCAAGAGAACAGAGACAGCCGATATGTCAGTCCGCGGTGACAAAGGAATGACACGTGGATTGGCAGCTCAAAGAGAGTTAGAGGCTGCGGCTCACCGGCTCTCCTGGGATCCCTGGCTCTCCACGAGTGCCGGGCTTCCCCTGTCAATCACAACACGGGAGGAAAACAGGGCGGGTTTGACAGGTCGTCAACGGTGTCCCAGCTACAGCACCTCTCCAACCTCCCATTTATAATACAGCAACCAGTTTAGTACGGCCTCGCAGGCTGTCCGCGGAACAGACCCCGGGTACACAGTACGTCTGAGTTATTAATCAACGGTGTTGAGTTATGCCCCTTCTGTTTTAATAGTTTGTGTGCTTTGTGAAGCATCATCAAATTGTTGCCAGCAGCAGACTTAAACAAGCCAGATGATACATCATGGAGGAGTGTCAACGGGTATAAATGATAAAACAAAAACAAAAAAACGTACCGAAGGACCTTGTACCCCAGGTGGACCAGGCAAACCATTATCGCCCTGAAGGAAACCATAAAATACATGTAAAAAACAAAGAATACACATAAATCACTATCAAGCAGACCCAGAAAAGAGCCTAAAACTGGGTATAATGAACAGGCTGAGGCTTTCTCAGTTTGGACAAAGAGCCTTTAACACAAAACACAAATCCTCATGTATACGTTGTGATAAACGTCGTCTTTAGGAAAAAAACACTTTTCATTTGTCAGTACTTTGACAGTATTTCCCTAAAGAACAAACTATTCTGAACTGTCTTATAAACTAAAATGTTCCCTGAACACACACAGTATCATACGGTCAATCAGTGGCCATATTTCCAAACAAATTTAGATTCAGGTAGTTGCATGAAGGACTACTTGTGCCTGTGATTGTTTTGGATCCAAATAGCTGGGGTACTAAAACCTGAGATTCCCTCAGTCAATAAAAAAAAGACCCAAAAGGTGATTGAATTCCAAACACAATCTGACTTGAAGGAACCCGTATTGTGTTTTACCCACTTTCCCGTTTTATTTTTGTAGATTAGTAGGTGGATATTTCCTTTTTGAAATGTACAGAGGAAGCTCCTTCTCTCACTGTGAATTGAGATTAGCTCATTGCAGATCATGAGAGCCTTCTCTTACCTTTGCACCGGGTAACCCTTCAAGCCCGGGTAATCCCATGGCCCCTGGTTCTCCCTATAAGAGAAAAGCACCAAACATCACCACTAATATCCACTAGTATATCCCTCTTTTTTGCATCCGAGAATTATGATAATTTTAGGAACTACGACGCATGCTGCCCCCTGTTGTAGGCTATCGACGGGATAAAGAAGAGCCCCGTTTGACGATCAGAATCGCACATTCTTTCTGCGCTAAAACCGAGCCTCATTCCTGGTGCACAAGCAAGTGATGGCCTCTGTCTTACCTCATCTTGTTCAAGCGGCCATGGAGAAATGCCATTACACCGAATAAAGGGGCAACCGCTGCTGACATAGACGGATTGTGCAGGTAATTGTCACACATGTAGATTGTCATGAATAAGCAAGTGTGACGAAGGGAGAGAGTGGGCCAGCCAGAGGATCAGCTGTGAGACAGATTGGGGCAATTCCACCACAGCAATGGGGCCGCTCCCACAATTTATTAAAATGTCAAATTAACATCCTGGTGAAAAATCACTGTGCAACAAAACAATAAAAAATGCAATAGGCCCCACGAGAACACAGAATTCATGTTGATGGCCCTGAATTGTGTCCTTGTCTGCGCGGATTGTTTTTAGGCATCAGTATGGGGGCGCGGGGGGGTTGTAAGGCATTTGAAGTGCAGAAAGAGTTCATAGGCTCCCAGTGGCGAGACAATATGGTCGAGCAGTTTCATATTTGCAGGAGACATGATCATTGTTTCGCTGAGCGTTGGAATTCTACTACGAGTGGTTGAGTGTTTGAGGCTTGAGGGTGTATTGACTTATGCTGCAGAGATCCACAGAGACAATGAGAGAAAGCAAATGGAAACTCTCTGACTCGGAGTCTATTCTTGGGAAGCACGAAAAAATAGACAAATATTACATAAAATATATATTCCGGAATGAGAAAGCTTTCACTCACTGCAAGTCCTTCGTCTCCTTTGGGACCCTGATGAAACAGAGAGAGGGAAAAAAGGACATATTTCTATGAACAGGACAACCGTTACCGTGATAATCATGAATACAGTCTGAAAGGACATGTACTGTATGTTGGTGTGGTAGAAAATGATAGCAGTCATTATTGCTTCTCTTGCCTACAAATCATGCTTCAATGGTGTTATGTGACACCGCTGTTTAGACTGTGGTCTAAAGCAGCTTTTAAATCATAAGGATCATATTATCAGGTCTGGTTATCACAAATTCACGTGTAGACCTTCAGTAAAGCAGTAGTGATACATTTGGACATTTGTCTCTCGGAGCTGTTGTCCTGTCATGGATCCAGTACAGGGAGAGTCTTCCTGCAGATTGAGCTGTGGTCCATGTGCATTGTGCACTGGGGATATTAGATGGGTTTACTTTTTCATCCATCTCTAGCTGGTGGATGGATCCCTGCGGGGCCTGTGAATGAAGGAGCCTGGGCCCAGGAGACTGGACGAGATTATAAACTGTCTGATGAGGCGGAACGGCAGCAGCTGATAAGCAAATCGGGTCACTTCAGTTTTGGCAACTCAACTTCCAAGTCCATTTTACATGTATGATGTTGTGTGTCCCGGGGCAGGTCATAATAACCTGTTTGAAAGGTCAGGAAGCCTCCTGGCCTTCACCAAACACCGGCTCTTGGTGTACATGATTGACTGATAGGTCCCCAGTACTCGACATAACTCTGGAGGGCTGCTCAGGTTTCTTATTCAGCTCACCCAGGTTCTGCGGCTCATTCAGTATCAACACGAACGTGTTCTCCACAACACACTGTAACGGTTTTGCTTCAAGCATAACAACAATTATACTTACCGGAGCGCCAGGAGCTCCAGGAGGTCCTAAAATAGCTCCGCCACTCTGAAAAGACGTTGTTCAAATGTTAACAAAGCCGTTTAAAATCAAAAGCACCGACTCTTTTCTACCAATTTGATTGGAGGCATTGTGACGTGCATACAATGGATCCTGATGACACAGGCGCCGAGTTGTCAGTCATTTGAAAAACCTTTTACCTGCAGCTTGTACAGACTGCTCATGCCGTTCCCCTCCACATAGGGGACGCCCTGAAACAAAACACAACCATCGACAGTGAACACCCTCGCAGAGACGCCTCACTCTTCTGTGAGTTTTGGGCACCAAGAGTACAGAAAAACCGTGCAGCAGGTCTGGAGCAGTAATACACCGTTAGGCTCTTAAAAGCTACATGAGAGAGATCAATAGCTAATTTGGCGAATGCACAGAGAGAAGGAAGCAGCGTGCGAGGGAAAAGTGTAAAAAGGTTGAAAAGAAATAGAAAACTGGACGTGAGCCAGTCGTATTACCGAAATACAGAAAAAAACTGTGTTTTAAAGCAATCTGCGTATGATAAGTAGGTAATCACGGCTCCTCGGGTAGAATGAGAAGACGACACCATGTTCCTCCTGGAATAGAGGGCATCTATCGTGAGCGAAGAAGGAGTCAAGGTTCTCATTTAGAAGCAAGAAGATAGCTGTGCCCTTTTCAGGCCACCGAGCCGTCCCCTGTCCTCCCAGACGGCAGTTTATGGGACCAGTGGGTGGGGGTGGAGGGTGGGGGGGGGGGTAGGAGGGGGAGGTGGGGGCAAGGAAGGTTCAAGGGGACGGCTGATGAATTATAGATTTGCCTTTAGATGTGCTTACTCACTGGCCTTTTAAAGGGTGCGAGCAAGATTCACTGCAAGTGAGCAGGTCGCCACGATTTCATCACATTTTTGCCAGTTGTGTGTTTTTTGTTACACTAAATTGCAATTAAATATTTTTTTTTCTGTAAGAGACGTCTTGGAAATGTTTTGCCTCTGACCTGATCATGGGAAAAGAAGAGCTTTGAATAGTGCTATAAAAGCAGAATGTGTGTGATGTAAGTCTGGAACCTTAAGAAGTGAACACGGACAGAAACTACGGCCTTAACGGAGGATTTGAGACTTGTTATTACCATCCGGCTCTTTCTGGCGCAGCGGGAACTTACCGGAGGCCCTGGAAGCCCTGGTCTGCCCGAGGGTCCTTCACTTCCCTGCCAAACACAAACAAGAGGAATTATTAAACACATGGAAATGGAAATGATCAAGCATAGTCTCCTGCTAATGTATTCTGATGACAAGGAACCTCATCTTACCACCTCTCACAAAAAATATATTAGATTCCTTTTGACTCTCTTTTAAAACCAGTCCTTTATTATACGCTTTGAGACGTGGACACTTGAAATGCAAATTAGCAAACATACAGTTTTAAATCAACATACTTGTTCATTAAGCTTGTAAGACATACACACTATATAGATTACATATACAGTAGTTAATAGAAGACCGTACTTTGTCTCCTTTGCTTCCATGTGGGCCCACTGGCCCTGGTCTACCCATAAGCCCCTGCAAACAGAACATATTCCCTTTTTTAAGCATCGACCGAAGACTTTACAGTAAACATAAAAACGTACTTTGTATTATGAAATAATGGAAGGGGTTCTTACTGGGGCCCCGGTGCGACCGGACACACCGGGAAGTCCTGGCACTCCATGAGTCCCCTGGAGGTCACAAAGTGGATCATCTTTTTGTAAAATAATGTCTCACTACTGAAACTAAATATTTTTTATTTATATATTTTAGAGCAACGCTGGACATACAGTGTATTCCAAAACATTACGGAGAAATGAATTTAGTGTGCAAATTGTTTACTACAACTCAATGGATGTATTCTCTCTTCACACGTGAGGATGTTGTACAGATAAGATGTACTTCACTAGGAACACAAAGTCACAAATGAACGGATACAGACACACAGTCAGTCCCTTTGTAATAATTCCATACGTAACCAAACAGGACATGTTTGCATCTTGACCTGTTGTATTACTGGCTGTTGAACTAAGCAGGTGAATTTATAGTGATAATGGTGTTTAAAACTATATTTTAGTGGGATAACACTAGATAACTTCTGGCATTATCATCACATTTTTATCTTTATAGCACCATTGAACATGCAGAAGCTTTGAAACATATGACTGTCTTCATGCAGCATTTGCATACATTTGTTTAGATAAAACAATAGTGGTTTGTTCGATATAGATGGTCTTGCACGGGTTTCTTTCAATGATTTTTTTATTGTTGGAAAAAACTTTAAACAGGGATATAAAACGTGTTTTATTAAGCCTATAAAACTAGTAACAAGTCCGGCTGTTAGTGAAAATATCCTGCCTCTGCAATTCAATGCCGGAGGTTGACCTATGAAATACTCCTGAGATCCTCTTAAGACTGCCCTGTTTTTTTAATTAGCACACACGCATACAAGCACACATGCTCATGCGGGGCAGGCTCTTTTTAAAGTAGCTCCTTGGAGGGCAAAGATAGGGCACGGTGCACGTGCAGCACTGTGGACGGCTCATGATGGCTCCTTTTGAAAGCAGACGTTCAGAGGAGACAGGCTTGAAGACGAGGTAGACATTACAATATATTTACATTCTTTTGAAAAACCCACTCCTCAATGTCAAAAGCGACTTACGCATGGTTAGATAAATAACGGATTCATTTGTTTGGATTCAGCTCACCTCCTCCCCTTTATCTCCCGCGGGTCCTGAAAAGCCTCTCTCTCCTTTTACTCCCTGCAGGGAGGCAGAAGCATTGAGGGAGAGAAAGGTTTTTTTTCACATAGCAATGAAAAGGGCGTAAAACTAAAGACTGACGGGTGTAAACGTCAAAAATGTCTCTTTCCCTCTTGCAACACATGACTTGAAATAGCCTATCCGGGGTACAACACCGTATCCATAGTGACAGCGTGTATGGAATAATACGTGTTGTAGAACAGATGGTAGTCTCCCAGAGATAATCCAAAATCCTATTTCTGAACGCAGTATTCATTGTGCATCTCTATTTCTCAGATTCACACACATTTCAATAAACGGTATCATTAGCGTCACAGATTTCTTTCTGCCATGCTCGCCTACCTTTGGGCCTTCTTTCCCAGGGTTTCCCATAGGACCTCTGACACCTGGATCCCCCTGTTTAATATGGAAGCCCTCAATGAACACGGGTGTGGGCACATAAGCTCCAAAGCATTCAATAAGCGCCCCCCGAGGGCGAATATAACAAGTGTCATGTAGTGCAAACTTAAATTAACACGTTTTGCAACATCTGTTCCACATTGCCTGCCATGCTGATGAGTTGCTTTTACCTTTTCTCCCAGTATGCCTTCCTCTCCTCGCGGTCCTTGGGGCCCCTTCTCCCCCTTCTGCCCGGGGAGCCCGGGGACTCTTGTCTGGCACACGCTGCAGGCATTCTGCCCACGCAGGGAGGAGGCAAAAGTGGTGGTACAGATAAGATTTCATCAGGTTGAGCTGGAACGCTGGCTTTCTCGCCCTTTATTAGCCCCCCCCCCCGGTTGGAGGATGAGACCCCAACTGACGCAAAGTGTTCTCTAAATGTCTGCAGAGCAGAATGACGTGAGCCCACCAAGAGTGTCTCTCCGAGAGCGTCCCTCGCGTAGGGGAGTGGTGAACTTTGTCAGACTCATTGATAGTGACATTTAGGTGAGAAACTTAAATAGCATTGCCTCTGAATCCAGCCTGGGCACTGCACTTCATCGACATTAGCTGGGAGCTGTAGGTCGGGGAGCCAATAGAAACAGGCAGGGTGCACCAGTAAAAAAAAAAAAAACGAATCCTAGCCTGAAATACCAAACAGAAAATGATTTGCACATGCTGGTCCTCGAGTTATCCTCCAGGAAATCTTATCAGTAAAGCAACATAAGGCGGGCATGTTATTATTCAGAAATAAAATAAAAAATGTTTCAATGGGTTTAGTCATTTTGCCATCAGGGTGTTAAATGTATTAATTAAGCGTGCCACCAAACAGCTGTGACGGAGGCTACAGTGGGTGCATTTAACAGAGCACTTAATGGATCAAATAAGTTGACACAAAGAGGTGAGAGAAAAGAACAACTGCTTGCATTAGGTTTAATTTATATGATTAGTCATTTGATGCATTATATTTATAGGCAGAGCTATGTGCTGTCCTAAAGGTAACATTAATTAGTTTAGTGACTCAGAAAAAAACATGGAATTACTCTGTTATTAGCATGGACTGATTTAAGTGGCCATTACGAAAGATACAAGCCGGCAAAAGAATCTCAGGTAATAAAGGGCGACGGCTGGAAAGTGTTTCACATTACGTCTGCACCTCACAGTTCCTGAACAGATTCTGCATTTGGTCAGTGATAAAAAACACTCAATAAAAAACTCAATACTCTGCCTTTTAAAATCAGCACACGCCTGGTAGTTTAAGCAAAAATATTTCTCTAAACTCTCTGTTCAGAGCATTCTTTCGGCAGTCCCATCAGGTGCTTCAACGTTTGGTAATTCGAGGTTTAAGTGACAATCTGCCAGAGGACATTAAATTAAAGCATTTTAAGAAGTGAGGACTATTCTCAGGGGGCATATTTGGGGTTTTGGGGGATTACATGGAATAGTGTCTTTGTTTTAGACATTTGAATGATGCAAATTTTATTTATTAAAAGGAAAAACAAAAGGACTACTCCTAGTTTTCCCCATCGGACACTCGGTCATCAAGCAGTAAAGTCATACCCTAAATTACGCATGTCCGGCATGCAGCACCCTCAGGCAGAGAGAACGTAATAAAGATATTGACAGCATTTCATTCTTCTAAACAATTCACGCTGCAAAATCTCACTAAACTGAAAGCATCCATGCATTGATAAAATGCTACTCTTTGAAATGAGCAAATATGAATCATTTTCAACCACTAAGTCGGGATACTCTTTTCATCTTGTTGTAATTATCGTTAACCCACGAGGAAGAAATACCTTGAGTAACGCCCCCATGTCTCCAACTATTGGCAGGGCCGTCTGTCAAAGAAAGATGAACAAAGAAACTGCATGAAACACAACTGCTGTCTAAATATTAAAGCTAACACATCTTTTAAGTTTTGGAAATATTCTGTTGTTCTTTTTTTGTGCAAATGCTAAATTACTAAACTACTAAATTGCTGACAGCCTTTAAGGAAAGTAATTCATAGTTTCAGTGTTTTTTTTTCTAGATTTCAGCTGTAACGCTTGAGGAAACGGTTTAATAACCTAATATTGCTGGAAGACAGTTTTCACAATTTCAAACTATGGAAAATAATTTTATATATAATATAAAACAGACAATAAATGGGTTTTATGGCTTTTAACCGTGCGCAAGGCTTTGATGCACAACTCGTTCTCCGACAGAAGCTATCAAACTACATGTTGCTTAGTTGAAAAACATGAAAAGAAATCACAGAGACAAAAGCATGTGCTCTCAACAAGGTGCTGCCAATTTACTGCAATATTTTCCTCAAAGTGATGTTTGTTGTCGAAGGGCAGGACCGCTGATCATCTAATAACTGCAGCTGCAGTGTGAGGGTTACCTCGGTTATTATTGCAGATCAGTGATGCTGAACTGCAGAGAGCAACAATGAGATCTTCTCACTTACTGGTTGACCTGGGGGTCCAGCTGGGCCCGGGGGTCCTGGCCTGCCTGGGGAGCCCTTTCATTGAGACAAAGAAAGGAGTTAATGATCTTACCCGATGCGATGGCAGATATGGACCCATTCCAGTTAGTGGGAATTTGTGTCCGCGAGCCCCCGATACATTGCACTTGTTCTTCCACAGTGGTTGCAGTCCATGCTTTCAGCTACATTTTGTCTGCAGTGTACGAGGGAGTGAAAGCATAGGCTGATCTCACTCACCTCTCTTCCTGTGGCTCCAGGAGGGCCAGATAAACCCGGGGCTCCGCGAGGGCCCTGAAAAACATGCAGGCAGGCTGATGCGTTAGGCGATACTGCTCCACACAACCAGACAACAACCGATAAAGATGGCAGAATGATATTGGTACTGTAAAATAATTGCATGGCCTCTGGCCACGGCGTCAATATGCTGAACACCTGTGGAAATAAACTTGTTGTTGAGTGTTGTAGATTAGCAATTTTCCACCTACCTCAATTCCCGGCTTTCCTTCGGGTCCCATGCGGCCCTGAAAACACATCACATCTTGTTAACACTATCTACCCGCGAGCACCCAGGATCCAATAAAGGAATTGTGCTGGACACCTCCTGCTCTATTGATCGTCTGTCTCCAACGATGCTGTATTTCCAAAATGAAAGCAGACTCACTCACAATCAAATCTGCGTTAGGGCCCAACGAGCTGTGCAGAGCATACAGTATACCACGAAGGAAGATTCGCAACATGCCAGCACCTCACGGTAATAACCGCCGTTTTCATCTGAGTGTATTTAATGAATTGTGAAATGTTCAAAAAGGATCTGTCTCTTTAGAGGTTTTAAGACAGTAATCATAGATTGACCAACATAATACATTAGGGAGACAATCAATACAAGATCACACTCACAGGCGAGCCCGTGATACTTTCTCCAGGTTCGCCCTTTTCCCCGTGGTCACCTGGCAGTCCCGGGACACCTCTCTCGCCCTGAAGAAAATCCAAGGGAGCCGTCACTGGGGTTTTAGAGCCGCACTGCTTGATCACAGTCATTAATTATTGCTGGTTTGCCTTTAAGGCTGAGAAATACGTCAACCAAGGAGCATGAAGGTATTAATGTAGGCGTATAATGTACAGTATTAAATTATGTTTAATAACATCAATATCAACATCAGTTCAACTAATGTTACATAAATATAATTTCTATAGATATTTGAATTATTACCTATAGTATTAACGTACAAACACACCGTCTTTGCCATAAAGAGTACGTATCTATCTGCAGAAGTTATGTCAGAGAGCAATATGCATGGCTGTGCTGTTGATGCTCCAGCAACCACAGCGCTACCTACCTTGGGCCCGCGGGTCCCTCTGCTTAGAGACAAACCATCGCCCTAAAAAACAAGCGGAAGAAGACATCAGAGCAGGAATTCACTGCACACTCATCAGCAATTCACTGTGAGGCCTGAGGGGCAGCGCAAAAAAGCTTTTGTGTCGTGTCGTGTGTCGTCAACAGGAATATTGACTCTACACGAGCGACAAATCCACAAAGGTGAAACGGTGGACGCAGCATTATGATCCCATGTTCCATACTATTTAAGCCATTTTAATAGTTCCCGTGTAAAGAGCCAGACCGATAATGCCGTTCCACAGAAAAACCTGGATTGGAATTGAGGCCACTGCAAGTATTATTTACTGTACGCTTCTGATGAGACATTGATTTTCTGTGGTCAGCATATAATAGTGTTACAAGTCCAACACTGCACAATGTTAATTAGCCGTAGAGAAATTGGATTTAAACAAACACAGCAATTTTAGTTATAGGCCGAAAACGTAGTAATTGACATTAAAGCAGAAAAGTTAAGCGAGTACAGAACTATTTGGGATTAATAATATGAGCCTGCTCCATTAGACATTATGCAATGTCACTCTGTCTGTATATATATATTTATATATTTATAGTATATACACACGGCATAGATAACCTCTATAGCAGTACTATTGCAGTACCTGAGAGTAGAGAATGATAAATAATCCATGCAAATAACAAAAGCCAGAAGAAATGCAAATTTTCCATCATTTAAAGGCAAAATCAATGGCGACGTTCACTATTTAAGCACACTATTAGAGACCCTCACAGCATCTGCATTAACTTCTGTTCAATGCTTTTTCCCTTGTTCCTACACAACTAAGACAATAAAATGCCTCCAAATATAAATGACGGCGATGCTGTTTGACTACATAACAACAGAAGAGATGATTGACCTGCCGTAAAAACATCTCCCCATGACGCTTGTACACACATACACCCATTATGTCTATGTCAGAATTGCATTGAAAGAGGTCAAATACGTCAATCATTCCCTAATTACTGAACACACTACCCGTTGCAATGAGTGGTTCTCTTCACGGGTAATGGCCCCTTCAGTGTTTCCACTCACAAACAAACATGATTGTTTTAAAGCTGAAGAGCGCATGGCAGTGATTGTGGAGTGCATGTAACTCTAAGCAGGACTGAGCCCACGGCTCCTTTTCTAGGTGCGCTATAATGAACATTTCTATATGCAAAGCCATGTCCATAAAAGAGAGTGCTTCAACAGATATAAGCTCTAAAGTGGGAGGATAGGTGATCATCCAGGCTGGGGTTATCCAATGGTAGACTACTTAATGGCATTGCATCTCCATAATGTCCTGGCAGCTATTCAGCTAGAGGACCTTGTTTCTAGTACCTTTACAGCTGCTCTTAATACAGAGGATATATGCCTTGGGAAAATGGGCTGCATTGTTGTTTTCCTGTTCTTCAGTTTCAACGTTTGGGACTCGAGGGTCCAAAGATAACGCAGTTATATTTTTATAAACGTCACAGTACGCACCATATATCCACCTCCAGGCTCACCAGGCTCTCCCTTAGGTCCTTGTGGCCCCATCGCTCCACCAAAGTCTCCCTACAAACCACAAAAAGACAGAGGTTTTCTACATAGACAAAATGTCCGGCTCATTCATTTCAGAAATGGAAAAGGTGTAGTGTACTACCCTGCAGCCAGGTGAACAAGTAATAGTCTAGAGGGTCACGCAGGGGCACACAACGCGTACCGGGATCATTTCAATAAGCGGGAATGTTAACATTGCTTGGAGGTCACAGCTCTTGGCTATGCATCAACCTTACAAAATCAAGTTTGTAGGTTGGAAATCACTGTCTGTTACACGGCGGTAACAGCTTTGGTCTGCTTTTTTTTTCCAGGCACAAATAAATATTTGGTTCTCGTGTCCAAAATGAAAGAGACCACAAGGCACAAATGCATATTTCTGGTCCGCTTTGAACTTTGGACATTTTTTAGTCTTGACTCCTTAAAGCACATGTCCACAATTTGTCATTCCCCCATTCACACCCACACATGCTGGGAAAATCCCCTAAAACTACAACCGTATGATATATTAAGTTATGAAAAAGAAATAGAAAGTGAATATTGATAAGTATTCATATATGAATGCAGAATGCTCCATGCTGTACGGGCAGATGGATCGTGAACGCCTCGGCCTACAGTGCATCATGTGATGAACACAGTTTTGTTTCAGCCAGAGGAATATCATGTTATAAATCCTGCCAAATAGATTGGACCAAAATGGCTGATGAGTTTGTGTTTACTTCCGGTTGTTCTAAACTTTACAGTTGAACTGTATGTAACTCCCTTCTGCCATTTCTGGCAAAAATAACAAGGAGCCTTTTGGAAAGAGCATAGATTTCCTGTCAGTGTGAGTGTGAAGTGGGAGGTCTGCTTGTTTTCCCTGTTGATAGCAAATACTGTATTTTGAGTCAAGTTAATCTTAATCCTTATGTTAATAGTGTGAATATGTTGATTTTCTGAACGCAGCTTGTTCTTATAGTGATAAAGTTTGTAATTGTATGACTCTTATTAAAAGGAGTTTGGGTTTGGCGGCCTGCGGCATTCTCCTTGCAGATTGCAATCAACTCTGGTACTCTGGTCACTTCGCTCACTCCTCCCTTAGCATTTAGTTGTGCGAAACCATGGAGACGCTCTTCACCTCACTCAGAGAATTCCTTACCGTAATAAAATGACTTTAGTAGCAAAGTCAGTCGGGCCCTGTTACTTGTATACTAATGAAAACCTCTTTTCATTTTTTGCTAATACATCCCTCGAAACGCTTCACCCTAAAAAAAAACGTATTTTATGGATTTTTAAAACTGAAGACTTAATGCATTTAATACTGTTTTTCTTTTAATAAAACAATCTTTTTGTAACCAAGCCAACGTGTTGGATCCAGTACCAGGTCTGTCGGACAGCTTATAACTCAAGTGTTTTTAATGTTCCCCCAAAATAATTTAAATTCCCCCACCAACAATGTAACCGTGTTAGTGGCGTGGCTTCGAGGACGCAGTGTCGGTAGGATCAGTACTTTGGTTTAGTCTAGACGGTCTGATTCAAATCATTCTCAGCTGCACTTGAAACTATAACAGGGAACATAAACATTATCCCCTCAAAATCTGCATCTTAGGATGCTGATGATAGCATTTAACTCAAACCCCCCCTGGGCCTAAGAAAGAGACGCAGTCTTATTGGCAGATTTACTTTCAGTATCCACATAGTTTGTAAGAAGTTGGCCCACGCTTCCAGCTAAGCATCGGCCTCTTGTCTATTGTTCATCTTTTAACCGCCATGTGAATGAATCAGAGGTTATAGCACAGCAGAGAGACATATACATGTGAATAGATATAAAAGGCTCCAGCCCTTTTCATTTCTCTGCCCGTGAGGGTACCAGAGTAGCTCCAGTGGGTGGAGAGTCTCCAGCACAGCTATCTTCATGTCGACGAGCGAAAAAAACACCAACATACATGCAAGCTTCCACTTTCAACACAGTGTTTGGAACTACTGCATGAAGGCATTTGTGTGTAAATCACAGAGTTCTCAGGGACGTCAGATGCAGCAACACAACGTTAAAACATGATGATGAGAATTACATGCGGGGCCAAATATCTGAAAGGTGTCTTCATAAGCTGTCCACGATGCTCAACGTGTGATAAAACATCACAGCTTCATATTTTCCTTTGAGGAGGGGACTTGATTTGAAGTTTACCTACCTTTTCTCCTTTCAGGCCATCTCTCCCAGGCAACCCTGACTCCCCCGGCGAGCCCTGTAAATAGTGGTGAAAAGAGACACATCTATCACCAGACCTTCATCTCCTCACAGACATTTATCTCCCCCTCCTCACTGCTTCAGCGGGCTGCCGTGTTCCAACATAATTTGCCTTAGCCAGGATTTATGAAATGCCTTCTTTCCCTCCCTGCTTTTGAGTAAAGACAGATGCTCATTACCCAAGCAGGTGTGGAGAACAGATTGAGCCTCTGCCTCCGTTCCTGGCTTAAAGAGCTTAGATTTGCCTCTTTCCACTAATTAATTCTTAAATTTGATTACTGATCGTCTGTGTAAAAAAATGGTGGACTTTTCTCGCTCCTTCCTCTCTGTCCTCGCCTGTTGAGGTTCCTCTGTTTATCCCCCTCTTTCATTTTGGCAGGCTGACTTAGAGAGTAGAGGATATGGCAAGGTGACAGATAAGGCAATGAAAAAGAAAGGAAGGCTTGACACGAAGTGCTTGTGTCGAGCGCCAATATACTTACTGGCTCGCCTGGGAGTCCCGGGAGACCAGTGGGTCCAGGCAGGCCTTGCTTACCCTGGCACAACACAAAGGAAAAGCAATATTTTGGGCTATTTTCCTCCTTTATTTGGGGACAGAATTATCCTGGCTTTCGAACGTTAGAGCCGTACATATTTCTTAACATACAGCTCATATCCGTTATTCGAGAGAAGCTTCCACATATCACCATGGAAACTTTGCTTATGTTGAATGATGGTAAATGGACTGTACTTGTATAGCGCTTTTCTAGTCTTCTGACCACTCAAAACACTTTAACACTACATGGCATCATTCACCCATTCACACCCATTCATACACTGATGACAGGAGAACCACACACAGTGACACCTGCCCATCAGTAACTACCATTCATACACTGTATGAAAACAGTGTAACAGTTAGCGGACAGTGTAACAGTTAGCGGAGCCTGGGATCGAACCGGCAACCCTCTGATTGGAGGACGACTCAACCCCAGACGGCCCTGATAGCAATGGCTACACAAGCATCAGTACCCGGCTAGTATTATTATTAAAGATTATCTTTATTATAATGATGTTTTTACAATATTCATCATAAACCAAGTTCCAAAGAGCTATCAAGTTTCCTCAATTAAAAGATTCCAGACATTTCAATTTGCATGTTGAACAAAGATTAGCCTGTTAAAAGTGTAATAGGCAATTATCGCTTACCTATATTGAAATATAAACACATCAGACTCAATTTAGTTATTAAAAAACCTTCCCCCTCACTGTGGTTTGTAGTCAGCAGGGTTTTTGTGTCTCCATTTGACCTACATGGTACAGCTAAGTGGCACAGCTGAGAAGAAGAAGAAGAACAGCACGACTCACCTCTGGTCCTTGATTCCCCGTGAGTCCCGGCTGCCCGATGTTTCCCTGTTACGGGACCAATAAAGCATGAGTGAGAGGTATGGAGAAGACAAACATTAGGACGGTCACAACACTATATCTGAATCCAAAAAAGAAAATATTGTAGGGACATAAAAGCCAACTTAAAGGGTTTCGCTATCAAAAATGTATTGCGCTCTGATAAAAGCCCTGAGAAAAACAAAAAGTGTATTTCTTTGTGCTCGGCTCAGTACATTTTAAAGAAATATTTTGGTTTCTTACTATACAAATGGCAACAAGTACAGATTTACTCAGTCAAAAGCATTGGTGCACAACACAGAGTGATACTCATCGGGTATCAAAGACATGGGAGCCTTGTTTTATTGGCAGTGGATATCGATGCTGAAGTTCTAGTCACCTTGAAGCCTTGCGGTCCTTGAGTTCCTCTCTCCCCCTTTAAAAGAAGACAGACAACCATCATTGATCCAGAAATGCATAAAGAAAATGGTCTTGTGAGCCAAACCTGCTGACTGGGGACCTTCGTGATGTAACCTTTCGTATTGTGCGAAGGCTAAGTACTGTGTTTGCTTATTTGCTATGAGAATGTTAATATAAAATCAAAGCTGTAAATCACAAAGATCAGGTCTGAGATACCTACAGAACAGTTCATGTACTTTGCTTGATACCACTTACATTCATCACAGTTGTATGCTGAGCGTTTGGTTTGGATGCCTGATTCAATTCAGTAAATCTCTGACATTTGCAGCTTCTTGTAAAACACATGTCATTTTATTCAGCTTCTGATGTTGGGTTAACGCCTGCATCGGTGGCTTTGTGATCTGCTTGCCCCAAGAAGGGGCATCCGTTGTTTTGAAGTAGAAATTCGTTCTATGATATAATCTTCAGTGGGAACTGACATATCAAATTAATTTGAACAGCAGGTGATTTAGTTTTACAGTATTTCCGAATTGACACTTTGTTGAGGTTACATAAGAAATGGCAACACGATTGCACGCTGTGGTGTCATTTTGCGATGAAAACGACTACTGTGTCTTACAATAAAAATCTCTTTACTGATAAATACAGTAGAAATGAGGTAAAACATTTACCTCGTCTCCCTTTTCTCCCTTGAGGCTCTTCTCCATCATCTCACCCTAGAACATACGGGAAAAGCGCCCACCTCAGAATAACTGACTGAAACGTACATCGTTTACAATCTGAAGAGAGACCACAGACGGCAAACACCAACATTTCAGGTTTTATGATGTGAACAGCTGCTTACAGTTCCGGAGAGCTGTCGTAATCCATGAGCTGTCATCACCTAGGAGTCGGGAAAAAGACACAGTGTTCCGTGAACAGTTTCCACTTGCCTTCCAATTACTGCAAGTGAAAGCTGTTGATTGTCTTTTAAAGGCAATATAGAAGAAGAGATAGTGAAAATGTTTCCCTGGTTGACAAATACAAAACAAATTCATATAGAATGTTTCTATAGTTCATTTTTGATCTTTGATGAAGCCCAGAAATGAGGCAGAACCACTTCGAACAAAAAATTAAATCAATGCTTTGATGCCTGAAAAACACGACGGGTGAAGAGAACAATCCTTCTTTTTACAGGTTACACACAAAAATCAAAGCCCTGCAAATATCAATACAGCAGATCAGAACACAAACTAACTGCCCCTTTATAGATTAACAATGCAGGTGAAACAGACCCAGCAGACACTGAGGATTAATCGCTTTTCAATGGACAAACTACTGACTTATACGAGCACACTGGACACAAATATGTACTCAAATGCATTCAAGTTGACTTAATCTTTATTTCCAATTCCCTTCAAATATTAAATTTGTCTCTAAAATGCAGTTGTAAGAACGGCTGGATGGAATGTTGTCGTCGCTGAAGAGGAAATTGATCGTTTCAGGCGGCCTGCTCCTTCGTTTCCCGATTTGCTCCAGACCAATATATGCCAGTTGCAGAGTGTTACAGTGATAAAGGACTATACAAATGAACGAGAATGAATGAGTAATAACCTTCGGTGAGGTGCTGCCCCGGTGCATCGTCTGCATTATCAGACAACCTTCAACCAGCGGAAGTCGCTCAACAAAGCCGCTGCTTTCAAAACTCTCGGCTCTCAGTTTCTTAAGAATACCGGACTTTGCATCCCGACTTTGACATAAACAAAATAACTTGGAAAACCTCTTTTCAGTAGACTAGATTAAAACTCTATTATAAATCAAACACTGGCCGCAATAAAAACAGGACGGCCGCAGAATTGAAAAGACAGTTTTGGCCACTTGAAGGAGGGTTGGGGGAAGTAATGGGCACGCGTGCCTTTGAGCACACTGCTCCTCCCCGTCACTAATAAACAGAAGCACGAGAAGGTTTATGAAGGGAGGGTAATGATCCGAACCCTTGCTTCTGCTGAGTAAGGGAAATCACTGCTTAACGGCCAAAATTATCTGCAACGGGAAAGCAGAGGATGGACAGACTGGTACTAAATGCTCAAACAGCCCCATTCATCAAATGACTAATGTTTTGCTCTGCGCTGTGTGCTACAGTGTTGTATACATCTCCTATATGCTGGGTGGCCCGTACCTCATCGCACAACAACACAACACGAGAACATTCGTCTCGCTTCCTCAGTTGAACTGAAATTTGAATTTGAGAGACAGCTATTAAAAAATAATGGCAAAGCAGGACATCAATGTTTTGAAAGGGCATTAAATCCGCCCCTATTCTTATTGGGGGAATAGACTTGCTGAAGGTTAGACAGAAACCAGTGAAACCAGTGGAGGGTGAGCAATATTTGTTCTCTGTGTAATTAAGTTGTCAAATTTCCATATGAATTGCTTGCTAACAAGCAATGAGAATGAGAATAAGAATAAAAGAAAATCAAACTTTGATTCCAAGCTGGTGTCTGAAGCCTTCGGAGGCTTAATTGCCGGCAAGTCTTTAGAAACAAAACCCATTAGGACAGAGTCGTCTAAATCTCAAACCCCCTCACTTCACTGAACTCACACTTTTATATTCGTGAACATTCTTCTAGAGTCATTTCTACCCCCCCCCCCGCAGATCTTTTACTGATTTGTCGCAAGATATTTCTGACTTTGAAATGTTGAAGCAATGAGTCGCATCATCCCACCACCACGCAGCCTGTGTCACCTTCAGCGTGCGTCAGAGAGACACCGTGACGTCAGGATGTCTTTGCTTTTATTCGTTTCTCCACTAAATGTGTCACCACTGTGGTGCCTTCCAACCGAAATCCATTTACTGCCGTTTACAATTATGGACATTAGCAACAGGCCATGTTCTGCATGGCCTCTATGGATTTACACTGTAAATACCTTTTTGTTACCACATCCGTAGGAGACGGCCAGTGCAAATGTGTTAATTTAATACTAGATAGGAGAAGGAAATCACAGTTCAGAGCGTGCCGTGCTCCTGCAAGCTATTTCTTACACATTTCTTTGCTGTGAACATTGCAAAAAAAGAGAAAAGGAAAAAGTACCCTTGTTGCCGAGTTTAATACCTGAAAAAGTAAGCTCTGGCTTGGATGAATTCAACAGAGCTTATTTCGACTGACTCGAAAACGCCTGGCATACATTTTCTCAGTGCTAATACACTCTACTTCTAATCACATGGAAAATGGTATAAAGATGACACGTCACCATGTTGGAGATGTCATACATTGTACTTACGGGACCAGGAGGACCAGGAGGGCCCGGAGGACCAATATCCCCCTGAAATTAAACAGAAACAACAACCACTACGTATGAAAGACTGATAGTTGGCTACAGAGAGAGAGAGAGAGTGACAAAAACAGTAACACATTATATTCCAGTTAAGAAGCTTCACAGATGACCTGAAAGAGCTACGTCAAAGGATTTTATTTGGCAAAAAAGAGCACGTCAGCCGCATGTAACGTACTGCTTGAATACACGCCGTGCCGTATCGAACCCACACAATCTGCTAAATGTGCGACACAGAAAAGGTTTATTTAAAATAATTTATCCTTGTTATTCATTTACAGATTTATCTGAATGATAACACCCCCCCCGCCACCCCCACACACACACACCCCCCCCCCCACCCCCATAGGAACAGAGTGAATCGACATGCATGAATCTTTGACATTGATGTGACTTACTTTTGGTCCTTTCATCCCGCCTGACCCATCCGCACCTGGCTGACCCCGAGCAAAAAGGCCTCGGTTAATGACTCTACTGTAATTGTCACTGCAGGAAAATACCTACAGGTTCCCCTCGCTCTCCCTCACCCTCCCCCCATCTGCGCATGAAGAGTAGTAGAACCATTGACAGTGACTGACAGCAAAGGCAGCGCGAAATGACAGAAAGCTCACAGAGTGAAACTTTGGCGAGGGCCGACATCATGCATGACTAATAAGAAAAAACACACACAGCATTGTGTCGTCACAGAATGAAACCGCTTCTAATCACGGCCGGGGAAGAAAAGGGAACACTGTGTGACTTTGCATTGGCGTTGAAATTCTAGTAGGGTAATGATGAAGTCGAGCCCCCCGTTGCATTGCAGCACATTTCCGTGTTGAAATCATTCCCCTGTCTGCCAGTAGATGGCACTTTATGACTGCTGGTGAGCTGTACATTGAGTGTTTTTAATAGGATTTCTTCCTGTCAAAAATGTGGAGAGTCCTCTAAGTAAACTGAAATCATGGTGGAGACACACAGCGAATGAGTAATTTAAAAGATTTGTGCTATAACACGGTCACGTCCTCAAAGACTAAGCAGAATCACACTGCATGCATTTGCCACCTTCCTATTATCAGCAATCATTTTAGTGTGGAAAATGTTGCACCGAACCCATCTGGAGAAGCAGAAAGGCTTCATCATGCTTCGAGCAATCACACATCCCCCGACGAGCTGGATAGAGGTCATGCGTTGTGATCGTTTTGTTATTTTCCAAACAAAAAGGTACAAAAATGTACAATTATTCAAAAAAAGATTATTGTTTGTATGACGTGTTCACAATTTGTAGGCAACGCTCTGGATGTTACGACGCTATGGAGCATCTGTTTAGCAATCTGAGAGGACGGGGAGACATCTGAGAAAGGTTGCGGCGTATTTGCTCACTCCTTAGCGGCGCCTCGACTCTAACAAACAATATCTGCCATTTGGTTTCAGCACCTCCCTCGTGCCTTCCGCTCACGAACGGCGGCCGCTGTGATACCGTTTATTTAATGAGTTATAGTCACCGATTCCTCATCCAAATTATGAGCTGTTATTAAATCAGTACACTGCTGCAATGTATGAACAGATGGATTGTCCATTAATATTTTAGGCGGGGAAGACAGACTTGTGGCAAAATTGACTTTGAGTACTAATTGAATTCGGTTGAGCTTTATCAAGCACATGGGAACTTGGGACTTTTCCATGATAGTCTTAACATAATCTTATCAATTTCATCATTGTTGGCCCGCTGAGTCAGGCCTTTCTTTAAATAAAAAATGCAACTCAGAAGAAAGTACAGTTTATATTTACAGTAATTGTAAAACGCATGCTATACTTGTACAATTACATGGAAATCAGAGACTTAGATGCGAATATTTAAACACATCTGTTATTGTTATCGTTGTAAGATCTCCATGGAGGATCATTCAAAGTCGCTTTATTAGCAGAGGTCTGTGACAAGTTACCAAAGCTGTTAAATGAGATTAACCGCAGCACGCCAGTATTTATCTAGATTATCAATGCATTTACACAACGAGAAAGCCCCAGACACTGGAAATGATCCACCTGTGCAAATCTGTAGCTGATTTGCTCACTTTGAGGCCCCTCGAGCCATCAAACTGTAATTTAGCCCGTCTGGCGCCCTCTCCGTCTCTCCATCAGTCTATGCCGCGTTCTGTCAGTGGGAGGCACCGTTATGGAGATGGGATTCGTGAGAACAACGCCTCCCCGGCACAGACTTTTTTGTATTGCTCCCTTCAAAACATTCACACTCTCGCTGGGTGAGTGAGAGCGGGCCGGGCACACGCAGATGTTACACGAGCTGCAGTTTAGTCTAACTTAGCGTCTGAGTTGTCGGGGGTAAAAGATGCACAAGGACGGCCACTGAGCTGCAGGGAGAATCTCTGATGCTGCTCAATTATTACTGCTCCTAAAAACTCTTTATTTCCATTCCATTTAGCCGCCTCCTTTTTATGCTTGATTGTGTATATTCCTTCGAAGGCGGGCCTGTGTGTTCAAATGTTACGTCATTCTGCAGGACATGCAAGACATGATGAAGTTTAACCCGCAATGTCAAACTATAATTATTGGTTGTATCTGCGTTTTCATCACGCGTGAAAGAAAAGTAGCGATTGCAAAACATATGCTGAACCAACAATTTCCGAGCAATTTCCTCACCTTCAAGTGAAGGTTTGTACTTTACGGCTTCACTTTATGATATGAGACGGATTCACGGGAGATAATAAAACCGCAACAGAGCAGCCAATTACAGAAAACTCATGAAAACTTAATCAAGGTAACCTCTGTTTGCCATTTCATTCTTAAGCATGACTTCCTAGCGCATGGTAATGTCATGTTCTATCCTGTGTGTTTTGAGGTATAATACTGCACGTGTGTCCTCCATCAGGGAAGCTTTCTTTTCCAAGGTTGGCCCGGCTGACGCTTCCCCTTCCGCTGGGCACTGGGAACAAGAGGAATTCTGAGGCACGAGCAGACACCCCGGCAAGGCGACCCACCAATACATCAAAAGAACAGCTGCGGTCAGGAGGTTGTCCACTACACAATAGCTTTCACTCTCAGTATGATCACAAGTGGGCCAATGGAGCTCCCGGTGGGTTGGTGGAGATGAGGGGAGGCGGGGGGGAGGGGGGGGGGGTTAGGTTGGTTAGGTTAGGTTATGAAGGAGGCGGGGAGCAACAAACACAGTAGGAGACCTGGTAGATATCCGCGTTTCTTTTGCATTGCATGTCTCATGAGCCTCCGGTGAGCTACAGCACCCCGCGGGCTTAATGATTTCGGACACTTTTTTTGCCAAAACACTGTGCGTGATGGCCGCGTGTCTGTTTAGGGTGCGAGCGTCGAGTCCCGCTGCGCTGCGCTGCAGGAGGTGCAAGGTAGGAACGGCTATTTAATCTGCACAGTACAGAGGGTACAATCGACCGAGAGGTGCAATTTCCGACGGGCGAGATCGTTTCCTGGCTGCGAAGGAGCGGAAATGTGAGCAGATGTCTGGTCACGTGCACGCCTGACGTGTCGAAGGCTGACTCCTTGTGACAATTTACTTACACACTGTACGTCTTTGTACAGACAACACAGTGCAGATGATTAAACTCCTCGTCTTTTCGGAGGACTGCCGCGATGAAGGCTGCTCAGTCATCTCGACAATTCACCCTAGCTGGAATTGCAGGTACGGTCCAGTTTATCAAGCGGGGAGACAGCTCGAATCTACTTTAAATGCTACATGTCAGCACAGTAAACAGTGTTGTGAGTGATACCTTGATACTTGCTCCTTCCGCGGCCCCTGGGGCACCCTGCAATTACAAGCCGCAACACAATTTCACACAGGGGGAGGACAAAAGATGATTTATTTTTAAACATTGCTCTTTAACCAGACCTTTATTAAAACTGACATGTTTACTTTGATAAAACATCCTGATTCACAACAAGCGGCAGTTGTTCCTAACCTTTACGCTAACGTTGGCCCTCATGAAGACACGGTTGGCCACGAGCAGTCCATACGTGACCTTTGAGCGTGTCTGTTGCACGTCTATCAAAGACCCTCCCGTTGTCGCGCAATGCTAATCTGACTTAAAAATAACGACTGCCCCCTCAACTGCAAGCGCTGTCCTGCTGCCAACGGACAAAAGAGAGTGATGCACCGGTGCGTGTTTTGAATAGATGATTTTGCCCCTGAGATCTACCTTAGCAGAACAGATGACTCATAAATGCCAATACCAGGGGACGGAGGCAAAGCTGGCACATGCGAAGGGCATCATGAGGACATCTAGAAATGTCACACCTTCTCCGCTGTGTCTTTCTTTCGTCCTACGACTTTGCGTCCCGCAACTTTATGAGTTATTGCGGAGGCAGCGGGGATAGATTCAGTCACGCTGAATAGGTTTAACGGGGAGCTGAAGTTTGACCGAAGGTAATTTAATCTATTGCGCATTAACGGTAATGGCAGCGGAACAGAATCTTTCAGGATTTCTGGATGATATGAAGTACGACAAACCCTGAGTGTAAATCGGGCGATTGTGCATGAAAATAATTGGACTCTCAAAGCTTTACACGACGCCTTAATGCTCCTTTTTGCCCCGACATAAGAGCGGTTAAGAGTCTGATCTGCTGTCTCTTTTTGTGCGTTGAGATGTTTCTCCCTGTGCTGCGTGGGTCACTGCACAAACACACAAACAGTGTCTGGGATTGGTTTGGACAACAAAACCACCATAATTCAAGGAGTCAACGAGCCTTAAAGGCAGACTTGTGCTGCTCATCAATACAAGTATTCTCAAGCGCTACCTTAATATAACCCTTGTGGGTTTGTGCTACTAATATAACCTGCTTGTAGCAGCATGGAATCAGCTTTTTAGCAAATCAATAGAGCCTCAGCCTGGAATTAATAGACAAAGTTCCCAGAGTATCCTACACTGAGAGTGTAATTCCTCCTTTTAAAGCTGGATTCTGTAATGCATGTCGGTTGAGCTCATTGACTGCTTGCTTCAATGTGCCCTCAGGATTATGATCACTTTGAAGTGTCCATTCTTAGCGATACGTCTCAATTGAAATAGACGCTGGTGATCTCAGAGGGGATTCACCGTTAAAATTATATTGATTCTGATAGCTAGTCTGTTTGTTTTCATCTCTTTCCCTTAAAAAAAAAAAAAAGAAAAGCATGTGCATGTGTCTTTGTTACTGTATTTCATTTACCGGCAGGCCTCTGAGTCCAGGCTCCCCAGTCTTTCCTCTCCGTCCCTGAGGTAGAAGAAAAGAAAAAAGATTGAGTGAGTGCAGATAAAACAACAGGTGTGGTTGGGCATACATGCTGCCTGCAATTAAGGCTAGACAGCAACTCACAGTCTCTAATTTGGTTTTAATTAACAAGAAGAAAACAGCTTAATTGCCGCACCCCGTGTGGCCCACTGCTCTTTGTTCCCTCCTCTGGTTTACTGCCTCCTTTCCAGCTGTGTGAGTCCCTCAGTGCATCAATCAACCCAAGCAGCCGATACAGCCACAACCAGGTCAATCCGGCCAGCGCTGTCCAGCAATGCAAAACGAGGTCAGAGGGAAGCAACCGTTTTTCACTATTACTACTTGATTTCAGACGCTTCCATTTTTCCATTTTTGAACATATTGTGAATTGCAAAAGGCCGTCGTGCCTGAAAGTCTGTGAGGCTCGAAAGCTGACATCGTAATGAGATGTAATACGATCCAAACCTAACCGAAGTTGGTATAATGTACATTAAGAGGGTTTATACCCCTGTGGGGAAAGAGGATAAAAGCTCTGTGGATATCCTTCCAGCTATCACGTGAACTGGCATCACTCGCCCTGTGTTACAAGGAATTCCTGGAATAAGCCGGCTTTCACACACACACACACACACACACACACAAACGCACACACGAGAAGGATGGGAAATCAACTCAATCAGGAGACTGGATTCATTTGGCCAGAATCAATTCACCGTGCAACAATGTAATCAACGGCAGAAGTATGAGACACTGCAGATATCTGTGTTTTTGGCTACACGTGATTACCTCCTTCTAAAAGGAGTTTAATCATCTGACAAATTGCCGTAGTTGAAGCAGTGTGTCTCTCGTCTTCTCTACGTGTGGACGGCATGAAAACACATCTCTCCTCCGCTGAGTTAGTTAGTTCTGTGGAGGAAGACGGATCACTGGCGGCTGAGAAAGAAACTAGAGAATCACAAAGCAACGCCCCCGAATCTTTCCATCTGAAACTGCGTGTGTGCGGCCTTTGATTAACTGGGTCGTATTTGACGTGTACGTTTGCATACAAGAAAGACTGAGTGGGGAACACAGAGCAATCGCTTTTAATCACCTGTGTGTGCGCTCACGCTCACACGCTGTTTGTGTTTGTAGTGCAAAGATCACAGGAATAATGGAAAACAGGAGAAGCCAAGGAGGAGTACAGTAAATATTAACCCTAATAATGATACCGTGGAACCACTGTGTGCCTCCTTTTTGTGAATCGCATGCTTTCCTCTGTTAAACGCTGCTTGATGTGGCTCGGCCACCGCCTTTTGATCATCCGTGTTAATGTGGCTTTGAGGAAACATGTGCTTTAATGTGAGCATGGATGAGTGCCACCTCGACAAGAGCTGGAACACCATCTTTAAACCTTGAAAATCCATTGCTTCAAATGACCAGAGTGACACGGCGGTGGAACCAACTCTGCGAATTTCATCCGGGTTGGTCGGCGTCGTGAAAGTAGAAGAGAAGTCAGACCGGCAGCCAACGTTTTCAGTCAGTGCTCATGCATATTCAACGCACATCGCTTTGGTGCGGAAGGTCCACGCGTCACAAACAAAGATGCTGTTTTGGTGGAGGGTGGACCGTGTTCTTTTCCCCTCTTTCACTGTGAATGAACAGGCTGACATTGAATCATTGCAACATTTGCATAAAGTTCAGGCTGTTTGTTTCCAGCCTTATCGCCCTCTGCTGCCCTTTTCTCCCCCGAACAAAAGCAGATAACACAGATAAGTAATTTAGCTAATGAATATTTCATTTTGCTATTATTCCAATCAGTTCATGAATCATGCAGTTTTCTAATGTTGTTTCTCAACATTTACCATTAAACGTCTTTTGATGCAAAATCAACTCTGGGTCCACTTATCTGCATGTTATCATCAAAACAAACGGCTCTGATTCTTTTGTACATTCAACTCACAAAACAATAAACACACTTACATCTTAAATGAATGTTGAGCCACTGCATAATAGCGGTCGCATATTACTAGGTACACCAACCAAAAACAAATTCTTTTTAAGACAACATTATAAATTCAACCTTTATGATGATCATTATGGTCTTTTGTTGAAACTGATGATTGTTGACGTTAATTATGTTGATTTAACTTCATGGCCATTTAGAGGCAAATCTTTGTGTTTCTGATTTGTATTTCATCGCACTAAAAGGTGCTTCTGACAACGTGTCCACACCCGCCTCATTCAGTCGGGTTTAGTCGGGTTGAACCAAACTGGAGTGGTGGTCGCTCTGACAACCACTGGAAAAGTAACGTCTGCAGCATTTTATTTTAGGTGAAGCAGACCATTTTATGTGTTATTTCATTCAAAACATTTAAAAATATGACTGGTGAAGTATATGGTAATAGCCGATTTGAATGCAGATAAACTGGGCGTGTCTGATGTTAGAAGAACATGTCCGGGTATTTGCCTCTGAAAAGGTATTCATGTAATATTCATTAACACCAACCGCTCACTTATTTTCAGAATAAAGCATTCATTAGAAAGACCACAGCAGGCGACACTGGGGTCAGACTGACACTACTCTGTACAGATGACCTCTGTTTAGAACGCCATCCTCAGCAGATCTGTGCACAGCGACGGGAGATAATTAGTACGGAAACCTGTTGTCATCACCGTTTGCACCCAGTTGACTCTGCAAACCAAAACACATGCTAGTAACACAATGAGATAACTGGCTCTAAAGTACGGGGATAATCAAGAGCGCCGTAATGCCCGAGGAGGAACAAAAAGATGCGCTGGGTTGGTTTTATAATCACGTTCAGGACAATTCTTTGGTTACTGTAAACCGTTTTTTTGTGCGTCGTCATTGCAGAGAACAATACGCGTTTGTTGGCACGAGCTTAAGCCACTATGTTTGTCCAAAATTCAAATGTTGAATAATAGATATACAAATCACTTTTACACTGCATGCCGTTCACTCATCTACACCGATCAGTTGCACTGATGAGTTATGACCAGTGACCTCGGACCACCGACATCTAATCAGTTCATTGAGTCCACGTGGAGATTTGAGCCACATTCAAAATCCTCTCTAGGCCTCCCTGGGATGCGACTTACGTTTACAAGAATGGACTGGACGGGGAGACGACCCCCAAAATATAATGATAAATATCTTTCATACCGAGTATCATTTCTTTTATATTTAGAGTTTTTAACAGTTAATTGTGCTTTTCTGTTGGATACAGAAAGTCAAGATGACACATTTGCATTAACTGTTCTATTGTCAAAATTCTATTTTTTCCCCAAAGTTTAAGAAAATTCTTTGTATTTTGCACCTGGTTACGAAGCCTTGTTGGAGTTCTGTCTCACCGTTTTTATTCTTTTCCTTTTTTGTATAATTTGTGTGGTGAAGAAGGTAGACACACCAGAAGAGAAATGTCAGAGGTAAACTCCACGTCCAAAGCAGTCTCTAGGCAACAAGGATGACGAGCAAACTGAAACTGATGATTTTGACTTCAAAAAGATAGAAAAAAATGTTAGACACAGTGAAAAACAGGAGAAAGGTCTAACAACAAAACAACAGCACATTGATAAAACGCAAAGAGCAAAAGAGCAGCTTCAAGTTGGACGCAGGTCATCGGTTCTGCTCCACTGAATTCAAGAGCCTTTTAAACTTAAGACAACCTTTGTATGCCGGGGTAAGATACGTCGACATGAAGATAACTAGGATATAACTCAAATTTCACAGTGGAGAGCACGCAAGACGGCAGTATCTCTGGAACTATTCATTCAGCTGAGCCAAACCATTTACCGTTTTCATTTCCTTTTCTCTCCCTCCATCTCTCATGTATCTTTGCCTTTGTGAATAATGTCATAACTCGATTACTCTCATCTCATCCCTCTCTCCTTCCCTCTCCTGTCTCCTGTCACTTGCCCTGTTCCTCCCTCGCCCAACTTCCAGCTCCCGTTGGATCACCCTGGCAATCTCTGTTGCTATGCAACGCTCAGTGTCCTATAAATTTGACAACATCCAAGTGCTTGATTATTATTTGAGCGCTGCAGTGTGAAGCTCTCCTTCAGGTCATTGCAGTAGATTAGAGGGAGGGAGAGCTACAGGGAGGCGAGGAAGGAAATGAGGGATGAGAGGGAGGGAGAGAGAAGCAGAGAGATGCAGGGATGAGGAGGAGAGGAAACGAGTCTGAGGGAAAGATGATATCTTTTTTTTTTTTTTGAGAAAGCGAAAGGTGCGCTGGCAAGATCCAACACGTCTTCACCAGCGCTATTTAGCTGTTGCGCTTTAAAAACCTGCCAACCACATGACAGAAGTGTGAAAAGCGCCCCACATTAACTACTAATTCAATAAGCGTGCGGGTAAACCTTGAGTCAGTGTACGTTGGAGCTGTGGTTAAGAAAGGGGCCTCAGTGGATTGACAGCGCACTTCTTACTTCCGACATTATCCACACGGCTCTTGGCCTCGACCGGCTTCAACTACGCTGCGAGTTGCAAAGTGCAAAAGGAAAGCACAGACATGTGGCCCCGGCTCGGCGCTGCAACACAAGCCGCGATCTGAGAGCAAACAGCGACAGTGACACACAGCAGAGGCACTCGTTTATGATAACTCCATAATCCTCTTGCCAAATGTCAACATGTTCTCCGAGACATTCCCTGTCTGACTACCCGGACTGGGATGTCACAGTGGCGTAAAAAAAATGGAGAGGCCAGAAGGTGTTGCATTTTAAGCAACAAAGCAGAGAGAGACCATCAAAAAAGCCACATAATCCACCCGGCAAATGCCCCCCGTCAGGAGGGGTCAGTGGATGAGCTGAAGGAGCCTCCTGGGATGAAAACCAGGACCCAACTCAAACCTGACAGACAGCACAGAGGGAGTAGTATCACTTCTTCCTAGTTCCATTCACTCTATGTATTTTTACTTTGACGTCTGTTCTGATCTGTTGAATCTGACCATTTTAACCTTGAAGTTTAAGAGGAACATTTCTTTCCCATCCAGTCCCACATTGTACAT